TTCCCACTAGGAGAATTTATTTCTTCCTCTCAATTTCCTAGAAAGACTTAAAACCCCTGCCCAAAATCCAGGATATTTGCAGCTTACCATATTGTTCTTGTTTCACTACTCCTGCCTTTACCATCTAGAGGGAACTACCTCTTCCAGCCTTTGCTTAGGTGAGTGCTCAGTGTGAGGGATCAGTCAGTGGAACTATGCATGTGTAATGAGTAGTTCCACAGGTGAGGATTTCCAGGAGATGGCTTCAAGGCAAGTGTTTTGCATATCTTATTTTTATCTCGTATGTACCCTTGTGTGTCCATTCTTTGTGTCTTGTCTGAATGTGCCTCCAGCAGCATTGCTCTGTACTGCAAGAGGCAACACAAAGTTAATAATTAATTTCTGATCATTAACTTCATCTACCTCAATAAATACCTTTTTAAAATGTGAATACTACTATTAAAAATATAAATCTCTTACAACAATAAATTTGCTTTCAGTGTATCTTTATTTTTGTACTTACATTAGTACAAGGTCTTGAGGGAGAATTTGGAAGTGGGTATTTCTTTGCTGCAAATTATTTCTTAAATTTTTACAGTCTTACCCATTAATAGCTTGGGGTTTTAAAATTTTAATGTCGTAGATTTTCCCAGAATTAAAAATACACAAGGTTTCAAACTTGCTAGGCCTTAAACATCAGTTTCTAGAACATATATGTCTTTTGTTGGTTTTGATAGAAAGCTTGTATCTGTGTGTGGCAACAGTATTGGACTTCAGATAACAAAGTGTTGAAAAATCCCCAACTGAAATTCCCAGTGTTAGGTGAAGTGTCCAAATACAATGGTTGGATTCATCACTGTAACCAACAAGAGGTAAGAAAATCTTGGTGGAAAGTCTGTGGTCAGCTTGGAAATTTAATACAGCACAGCTAAGCCTGTAATCAACAGCAAACTGATCAAAGATGTTTTTCCTCTGTTCTTCCGTTTAAGGTGTCAGTTGTATTAGCTGGCTGTGGGAATTAAGCACAGATCAAGATGAGCACAGGCTAACAGAGATCAGAAAAACAATCTTCTGAAGTTTTGCAGTTGGATATGACTGAATAGAAGTTCTTGTCAGTGAGAAAGAGGAATACAGATTAATCCCTGAGCCAAGTGTAGTAGTGAAGTCTGGTATTTTCTAAGACAGCAAGAGCTGCTCATTTGACACTAACTTGCCTATCAACTTTCTGCATATTATCTAGAAGAAAATTGTTAATATCTTTTTTACTCCTTTAAAACTAAAGTTAGTTCTGGAAGAGCAGAACTGACCTTTTCCCATCCGATGAATGATGATTTTAGCTGCAGATTCAGAAGCATCAGAGTGGGTTAGGTCCCATTTAAAACAAACTTTCTTATGATTTCTTATGATTATGAAAACAGGAATTCTTATGATGTGAGAAGCTGCAAACACCAAGATCTTGTCTAAGCAGTAGGTGGCAGACTGTTCCCAGTAATCCTTAGGAAGTTGTGACCCAGCCCTTAATGCCCACGGGGCTGTAACTAAAGGTGATGAGAAGAGAGATTTAAAGATGTGGAGATTCCCAAGGTTCAAGCAGTCTACCTAACTTCAGAGAGCATGCCAGGGATACTCGAGTCAGCACTTGCCAGGCTAGGGGATGTTGCTCCTACACACCCTGTGTTATCAGTTCCTAAAGTAACTGTGGCGGTTACCCTGCCCTGCAGCAGCTGGGTGACCTGGACCTTGTTTTGGAGGATTTGCCACTATTGACGAAAAACCAGTGCTGTCATGGCTTTGACACCTCTACACAACAGTATGCCTGTAGTTTTGTCACCATTTGGAAATCCCTCTTAACTCCAGAGACCCCAAGGAGTTTTTTAAACAAAATAGAGTTTAATACATGGAATTACATATCTGAGAATGCCTATGGATACACCACAGCCTCTGTTGATCTCTACAAACACAGAGTAGTTTCTGAACAGTACCCAAAAAGCTGGGATTCAGTCTTTTGGCAAAACTTTTTTTTTTTTGTCCCTACCCTTACCCAAATAATTTTAAGGTGGAGCAAATATTTTCTCTTTATAGCAGATTTTATTTTGAGTTTAAATTCACCTTGAGGGGTTTTCCCAATGCCCTGCTGCTAATAATAATTAATTGTATTTAAGGATGCACCTTATGCATTGGCTTTGTCTCATATGTTTCATTTCGAGAGAAGTGTGTGGTGCTCACACAAACCGCCTTTCCCATTACACTTGTTTCTTATGGCATTATTTTGCTGACTGTCAGAGGCTCTATAAGACATTTAATTACCCACCTAAAACTAGGCTCTTGTATCAAACTGGAGGACTGTCCACAGACTGCTGGAAACCACACAATCCAATGGTTGGTAAACACTTGGGGGAGCTGCCCATCCACTATGCAAAAATGTTGGATCTGATTTACAGAATGATCTGTTTAGCATTCACCAGATTATTTAGAACTTGTTTTGTCACCAGACAAGATTTGAAAGCAAAAGCATCTAAAAAAAAAATAGATTTTCATACTAGGAAAGGCATTATAAAAATACAAAATAACCAAACATTATGGAATTTATATTTTTATTAAGATCATGCTAATTTTAGTTGCTTCTATATTTAAGCTAACTCTTGAGACTGATCCTTTAGGCTCAGCTGATGGTTAGTGGGACATCTCATGGATACGCAGAATCATAATTCTTTTGGGTTTGCTTTCCTGCTCAGTCTACGTTACATTTCTACTGTGTGCTTTGGCTAGACTAAGAATGGCAATTCATCTTCATGATGCTTTCTCTTGCTTTTATCTTCCTTAAAACATGATGGAATTCCTGTAGAAATCATACATGATGAAGCATTTTCTGAATTCCTTTCCATGTGCATGTTAGCTTGCTATCAGTTTTTCATCAGTTGCTTAGTGTATAAATGAAACATTGATTTGAGAATGGGTTGTTGTCCAGCTATGCAGAGTTCCCCTCCCTCCTCCCTCCTGTGCACTCTTTCAGACTCAGGGGGAAGAAGTGGTCTTGTCACAGTAACATTTACAAGGGCTCAGTGAACATGTAAGCACATGGTGGAAGACAAAAACGTCTCTGAGAAGAACAGAAAGAGAAGCTTCAGGACCACCTCAAGCATTTCTTGACAGAAGAGCCCATTTGCAAATTTTTTTATTTTATTATTAGAAATCTCCCAAACCAATACCTATGACCATTCCTATAGTATTTCCAGTTTTCTTGGAATTTATTTGAAACAGAAAAGAGACTCTAACATCCTTCTGCTCTGCAATTCAGTTCTTTTAAAGTTTATCATTGTTATTACAGGATACACAGCTCTTTCTTGAATAGTCAAGACCTATCATCATCAAGAGCCTCATATTAGACTTTCTGTTTTCTCTGATGACAAATACAGACTACATTCTAAAAATACATCATAAACCAGAGAGGTGCATCATTATAAATAACGCAATTAAAAAGATTCAGAGGATGTCTGCACTCTCTGAAGTGGCAGTTACTTCATTGAAATTAAGAAGAAAGTTTGAGAGTGCTCAGTCTGCTTTGATAATGGAAGCTATGGTTATGAAAATCTCCTAACATTTTGTTCAGAGTTACTTGTTTGAAGCATCAGGTGAATGACAGCCAGACCAAGCAGCCCAGCTAGTGTTTTTTTAATAGCACTGATATTACAGAATGAATAGTCAGAAAGATCATAAAGGGAGAGAGATAAATCAACAGAGACTGCTTGATGCATACACTGAGGTTCAGTGTGATAGTTAGAATGAGGAGTCAAAGGGATTAATGACTCATTTGGTTCATATACATGGGCAAATACTTTGGTCATTAAAATACGTAAAAGTAAGCTTATATTACTGTATTGTTCTCCTTTGCCTCTATCCTATCAGTAACTCAGAAGTGAGAGCAAATGGCTTTACAAGAGGAGACAATAACTGTGCTGGAGATGGGCTAACCACAACATAGCCTGTCTTTTCCAGATCCTTCTTATCAAACATGTAATTGAGTTAAGTGAAAATTAGGCTTTCATTTAGCTACAGGAGATTTCTGTGTTTATTTGAAGAGTATTCCAGATTACTGTGATTTTTCATCTACATCTTCTTTTACCAAGAAAGAGGAGTCTGGATATTGGATTGAAGAAGCTGATGCATTTGTTGTGGATAATGGATTGATGAAGCTCACTTCCACCACCATATTGCAGAGGATAAATAAGATTCTTATGTAGAGCTGCTTGTATCAGTAGAAAGTAATCTCATCTATATGCATGTGTAACATGCTATGTCTGAATTGTTCATTTGACTGCCCATTTGACTGAGGAGTCAGCCTGTACTGTAAAAATATTTCTGTATATAGATTCTAATCAAACAAGTGAAGAAACTGTTGTACAACAAGTACAACAGTAATTCACTAATACATCTATTTTAATCTTAAATGTGCGTGTTTCAAAAATTCTAAACAAGGTGTAGGTTTCAGATGTGCTTCAGCTCTTGCTGCTCCCTGAAGAGCAACCAGGAGAAACTGTGAGAATGCCTTAGAATGGAAAGAATGAAGGAGGTCCACTTTCAAGAGGTACTGGTACCGTCCTCAGATAGCTCAGTAGTTGTGGGTATTATGGAATTTTGCTAGTCTGCCTGTTATTATTGGTCCAAATGCTTTCAACACTTGTATATTAGTGAATTGAATCCTGTTTGGACCTTAAATTACAGTCCACATTTATTCTCATCTTCCTAAAGAAAAACTTTATGATCAGACTGCTTTTACAACTTTTCTTTCCATAGTTTTAGTTTATAGGGTAGATGAGCTAGAAAAATTGATGTGCCCTCTGAAGTCAAGGGCTCACTGTAGGGAGAAGAGATTTAGCTGCTGTAAACAGAGCACAAAGAAATTACCTTTTTTTTGATATGCACATGACTGCAGATAAATATATACAGAGATGAAGCCAGGACAATTTCTTTTGCCTCCATCTACTCTGAACTGATAAATGGCATTATTCTGCTCTCTACAGATTTTTTAAAAGACCACTGGAACCTCAGTCTGAAGGATGGAAAAACTTGATAATGCTTTGAGTCTCAGGAGAAAAGGTAGGGTCATATTAAGTGAAGTTACAGAAATTAGCAAAGCAGTCTTTTTAACTGTCTTTCCAACTATACCTGATCTCTTACACATGATCTTGCAGGTCTTTACAGTGCTCTAATCCCTTTGGATTAGCACCACCTTTGGAGGTGAAGTTGCCTAGTCATAGAAGAGATCCTGTAATGTAATAGTTCAAGTGAAACACTGTTATTTCAATAGCAACTCAGTGTTTATCCATTTGACTATTTATACTTGGCAATTTCTGATGAAGCATTAGTGTCTAAATCAATAAAGTTAACTGTTTATAGGTAAAAGTCCATCTTTCATCCACATCTTTATAAGAAATGCAATAAGGACTACAGTAATTTTAACTCTTCCATGCCAAGAATACAATCCTGTGTATAATTGCTGACATCACCTTGGCATGGATTTGTATGGGCCAAGGTTATGTGCCTAAGAATAAGTGTGTTTCTTCTTTCATCATCACTCTCAAATTCCAGCACAGTGAATCATTAATATTATTTGTAGAGTAGAAGTTTTTTGTTTTGTTTTTTTTTTTTAATGGAGGAAAATTTAGGAAGATAACTCTTGTCTTTTGGGTTTAATCTAGGTTTAAGAACTTTTGGACTAAATAGATTTTTTTTTATTATTCAAATAGAGTGCATTTGTCATTCTGCTTTCTTACCACAGCTAAGAAAATACATTACAGTGAGAGGAAATACTGTCAATTGGATCCAATGTCACTACATTACTGGTACAAATTAACATGAGTGCTCCTGGCTGAGCTGATACTACTCTGGAAGTCAGATGTCTATTCTGTGCTGACCCACTGTGTGCAATATTCAGGCCTGTGAAAAAAAGAAGTTCCCAAATAAAATCAATTCAGTGAGAGAACCTCAGTGCTGGCTGAGGTGAAAAGCGCTGTATGTGCGCTACCGTCTACCATAGACACCGGAAAACCCTGCTGCAGATTATCTAGTTGCTACTGTAATTATTGTAGAGACAGATTATGTCACTGCTAGAGGACAAATTGAAGAGCTTCATGTCATCAACTTTATTCATATCAACGCAGAAGGGCTTTAAAATCTGTTCTTACAGAAGCAACCAATCTGAACATTTACTTATGCTTGGAAATTCTTGATGTACTGAAAGGTCCATTGTTTTTCAATAAGATAAAATAGAAAATATTGAATTGTTTCTTTAAAGTACTTTATTGCAGTGCCACAAGTTGGTTGGAGACAAAATATTTTCTAATCGTGAACAGTCTGCAGATTATACTAAGCAAATTGTAAATATAGCTGAAAAAATAAAAAAGCTATGGACTTGTCTACATGTACAACCTTTTACTCCACTGGAGAAATTTGACTTGATTTAAACACAGCAAGACAAAACATCTTTTCTATAAGTGAGATTCAGGGCCTACTTCACTAAGTTACTACATCTTTAATGTACACTCATTTATTCTGAAGTTACATCATCTGAACTTGTCATCACATTCTCTGTAACTTGTGTTCACTGGATCCTTTCTAAAAGTGCATATGCATTTTCAAGTATGACTATCTGTTAACAGAAAGGTGTCCCTACAATAAAACTCCTTCCTGACAGCTCCTGCTGCAAAAAGAATTGCCTTATCTTTTGAAATTCTTACAGCTTAGGCTTGAGCAGCATAAACCAGACAGGATGTCTCAGACACTTCACATTTTACTTTCTGTCTGAATCTGCTTCTTTTTGTAAGAAGCAATCTTGGAAAAACACATCCCATTCTGATTCTTGAGGAGTGCAATTGACTGATTTTCTAATATTTCAAAACTGGTTCTTACTGCACATTATCAGTCAATACATCTTCATTTGTCAAGTATCTGACTTCCTCTAATAAAAAACATAATTTATCCTTAAGTGGGTACCAGCAGCATTATGGCTGTGGTAATGCAGAGTTCAGTATCAGGTAACCACTGACTGTGTGTGTGTGTATATATATATATGCAGATACAGGAGCCAAGAAAAGTTTTTCTGTTTGCTTTGAATTTTTTTCCACTGTGAGTACATTTCTAATAGTAACCAAGCCACCTCAGGCTTTTTTCCTAGAGCTGCTTTAATATATTTGACTGCAATGTAGATATTCCTTCAAGTTTTTGCATGAGGATCAAAATGACTACTTACAAGCTGAAAATTGTACATCTGAACTGTCTGATTTAGGGACAGCCTTTCACCTTTTTGACAATTTTGCATCAACTTGTTATACAATAAAAATCCTGAACATATAAAATTCAAATCGACCAGTTGATTATGATGTTTCCTAAAATAAATAAAATGGAAACGTCGTGGATATTACTACAAGCTTTTTACTGAGTAAGAAATAATTTTCAAAAGGTGGACAGTTCAATAACTGAAGTTGTTACAAGAAATACCTTTGGGAAGTGCTATATTCTCACAAGCATTTGTTACTCTGACTTATGCTATTTAATATATGATATTTAATATCATGATATATTATGTATTTAATGTATGGTATTTAATATCACTAAAATTAACATAATTAATATATAATTTTATCACATTTCAGCTGTAATATTGAGGGCTGATCTCTAGATCACTATCTCAGTGATAGCTTATTGAGGCTTCTGAGCTCCGCATTGCAACCCACAGAATGTGCGTGAAAGTCAGTCCAGAAGCAGTGTATCCACATTGCTGTGATGCTGTGTCTGAGCTAAGCAGACATCAGCTTTCTCCCCATCCCTCAGCTTTCTCTCTTTCTGAATCTCAACAGAACACATTATATCTGTTGTGCTGACCCTGCTGTTGGCACCTGTTTGTATGGTTGTCTTAAGTTTTAAAGATACTTCTCCATGGTATTGTCATTCACCCTATCCACTGCAGGGCTACAGAATGAAAAAGTCTTGATTCAGTCTTGAAACATATGACAATAAGTAGGATTTTATACAGCAGCATTAGTGCTTATTATGTATATAGTTTGGAATACTCAAAAGCAGTTACAGAAACACACTCCCTGACACTAGAAGCTTACAATCTAAACAAAATATAATGCATAGAAGAGATCAACATACAAAAAGCAGAATCATTGGTTTCTTACTTTTAGTGTACATCTTGCTAATATATAGGATTGTGAACAGAGCAAGGAGTTAAAGGAGTTATTGTGATTTAAAATAAAAGATAATGAAAAGAGTGGTAGCTTGAGGAATTGTTCTAAGAATGGCTCAAAGAAATGCAGAGCAAAGGATCATTCATGACTGGGAGAATATTCAGAAAAATAGGAAAACAGGGTAACAACAGAAAATAGATTTTAATGTATTTACTTATCCATATTATTAAAGTTACAGACACTGACCAAGATGCTTTTGCAAGCTTCTTGCTTAGTACCTGGATATGTGACAGAGATAATCCCAGTTCTACTAATTTCAGTGAGAGCTACAGTAGTCTAACTCCTTTAAGGAGCAGGCTGAAGACTTTTATTAGCTGAAGGCCAAGGTCAAAACTCATGCATAGATTTGAATAAATAAACATGGGAACAGTATGTCCAAATGCTGGTATGAGTATTTTTCATACAGCAATTGAAACTTCTTCTCACTAAATCTGTTTTTCTCCATCAACAAAATAGCCATTTACAGGAAGTAAGGTAGATATTACGGAGTGAAGTTTTGAAGAAAGACTTGTTGAGCAGCAGAGGGCTAAATGGTAATAGGCAGTATAAAAAAAAGAGGAGTCAATAGCATTCCTGCACCCCACTGATTGATGTAAAATTGATTAATAGTAGTAGTAGAATAAAGATATAAATTGAAGTAATTCCATCCATCCATCCATCCATCCATCCATCCATCCATCCATCCATCCATCCATCCAGTAATTCCTAAAATAATGTGTTTCTACAGTATTTCTCACTGCGGATGTGTAGAATTTTAGGAGCTAGGCTGCAGATACCTCAGCTCTTCAGGTATATTGAATATGCTTTGGAGATTATTCTGACCATAGCAAACTGTTCGATACCAGCAACTTCAAGTATTCCTTGATGTCTAGCTGCTCTCTCTTTCATTTCTTTACTTCCACTCTAAATGTCTTGGTAGCTGTTTCTGAGCCTGCAGCGTCCATAATGATAAAGGAGGTAGAGCAGTACAAGGTTAAAAATGGACAACAAGCCAACCGCAACATTAAATCCGATAAAAATATCTGTCAAGAACAAAAAATAATTGAGAAGGGAGTTAGTGAAAGACATATATGTATACCATTTTATATGCAAAGCTAACAGTCTAATTACATATACGTAGAATGGAAATATTTCTGGCAAAATAACATTTACTGGCACATGCAATGTAAGAACATATACTTCAGTCCTAGAAATGTATAGATTGTTTCCTCTGCATAAGTAAATCTTACTCCCAGGTTTCCATAGGGCAGGAAGGACTATATGTAGTAAATGAAAAAAGAAAAGTAGTTTCTTCAGGGATCAGCAAAATGCAGGACAGGGGAAATAACAGGACTATTGAAAAGTAACATGTATCGCCTTGTTCTTCTCCTCCCTCCCAGAAATAATATTTAGGCGGGAAGAGGTTATCATCTCTCAGCTGCTAGTAGACCATGGATCAGCTGCACTCAGTACAACTGCAGAAACACAGATGCACAAATCTTACCATGAATTTGAAAGCTATTTTTGCTTTGCATTTGCAGAAAGTCTAATGTATCCAACATGAACAGGACCCTTATATAACACCCACATCCACACTTCTCTTAGACATTTTCAACTAGTGGAGATCTAGTTTTGACCACAGCCTTAAGGTAGCTCCTTTTGTGAATATACTAATTTAATTTCTACTGATATTCTTTGTCCATAGTAAATCTGACCCACACTTAAAGGGAAATCTATTAATTGTGTGAAAGGTACAAAATTCAGAGCCACTGATAAAATATCTGCCACCATCTCTTATGGGGAAAATACAGAACTGTTACACTACCTTTCATTTTGTCTTTCTTCCCACATTCTTTTGACCAGTTTTCTGTAATCACAGGAGAAACTAGTTCAGCAAACTTCTCAAGTGGACAAGAAGAGGTGCACCCTGGCAAAGTGAGGAGGTAAGGATCCTTTGAAGTGTCGTTCCGATAATGCATTTCGATGCTATATTGCCTGATTAACAACATTGAAAAGCTTTTTAAAAAAGGTTCTCAAATAGGTTTCCTACTTTGAGACAGCATGTTGGAAATAGGCTCTAACATCCTACTCTAGAACCTGTTCTCCAAGAGTGGAGGCTTTGTGAAGATATCTGCAAAGCCCACTTTGCCAAAGCTGGTTATTGGTCAGCTGAAAAAGTCCTTCTGAAGGCTCCTTGAATGGCACCAGCACTATGTTCTAAGCCAACTGGTTTACTGTGGGAATCACGTCTTGGAAGTATTCTTGCTATCACCTGAAGAATCAGGAAAAAATATTTTACCATTTTTTTCATTCTAGGAGGGATTGTTTTACCTCTTCTTCCTGTCTTTTAGAGCACATATTCACATCCAGAAAATGTAATTTTCCCTAATTTTAATATGACTTTTTGCCTATGGGTTGGTCAGTGATGTATCTATTTAAATCAAAATTGTACCTTCTCACAATATTTGAGAGAAAAGTGGTTTGGGAGAAGAGGGTAGCAAATTCTAAGCACTATTTATTGCATAGATAAGAAGATACTTGCCCGTTGCTTTCTTGGTAGAGTTCAAAAATCTGGCAAGCAGCATATGGTGGCAGTTTTCCATTGAAAATATTGAGAGCAATCTGGAGGGCCCCCACTGTGGTGTCATGCTATTGGAGACAAAAAATTCATCCTTTACAGTCAATTAAGTCAACTAGCATTCATCCAGAGTAGTGAGACAAGAGTAGAGTGGAAATCAAGATAAAAGAAAACCTATGTAAATTTGATCATAAAAATGTGTTCAGTATATTCACCATTGGGAAAAACATGTTAACTGATTACTACAGACAACAGGAGGCATTTCCAAGGAGTTACTGCAGTATGTGTCTTACACCATCTGGCAGGATTTTGGAGACAGACACTGAGGGAAAGCAAGATGTGGTTTGAGTAATAAATCTAGTTTTTCAATCCAGTTTTTCTTTTCCTTCCCTCAGTGGTGTTTTTTAGTCCAAGGTCAGATTAAGGCAGTGTAAAGTAGTATAATCTAGGGCATTTCAAGAGAAGGTACAAGTACTTTTTTCAGGTAGTGTACCAGACAAATAGTTGTGTGCAGAGACTATTCTCCTCATTTCCACTTCAGATTTTTTCCAATTGTTCCTTCTATTTAGACTCATACAATGAAATCTCAGTTTGGCTTCTATTTTTATGGAATCAGTTACCCACCCACATACAGATTCTTCGTCTAGTCATTATCCCTACATTTGCAGGGATCATAGGAAGAGGAGCTGAAGGCAGGAAGTCCAAACATTTTGGTACTTTGGTGCATAAATTTTGCAAGCACCATTATATATATATATATATATATATATATGCGCTAGACCTATTTATATTATCGTCTAGCAGCTATGGTTTAATTATTGTTCAGGTTCCGGAATTTTTTAGGCTGATAAGTTTCAAAAATAACAGTATACTTGAACTCAGAGTATTAAAGCAGAAGTGAAAAATCTGGATGTACTGCTCTTTCCTTTTCAAAAAGTACATGGTAGTACTAGAATCATGTAGAAAGGGCAGAGAGAAAGACTTGAGGTATCAAGTAGTTTCTATAGGAGAAAAGATTAAATGAGGTATCAGTGTGTCTTGGAAAAGGAATTATGGAAGAGGAGTGACAGAAAATAGTAAATTCATTAGAGACCCAGAAAAAGTGAATAAAAGAGGGAGTAGTTTTTTTCTTTAACACACAAGTCCTTTGTCACAGGATGTTGCAGAGTCCAAAAGTATAAATGCATCTAGAAAGTTATTAGGCCAGTTGATGGAAGATAGTCTGTCCAGAGATACTAAACACAGGGATAAATTCTATCTCAGGAAGTCCCTAAGACACAGACTTCTGGAATGTTTTATCACTCTCTGCTGGCTTTATTCTCACATTCATCCCTGCCTTTGGCCCTTGCTAGAGACAGAATAATGAATGAGCTAAGCAGATCTTGGCCTGATGAAAGTGGCCCTCTTCACCCTCTAAAATAAATAAAATAATAATAGTAGTAATGAAAAAAAACCCACAGAGGAGAGGTTTGGAGGTACAGCTGAAGTTTTGCTATGTGCCAGTTTTGGAGCACTTCAGGAAAGGTGCAACTAATAGAAACTTCACTATTAGGTTGTAGGAATAATGAATGATAAAATATGGAGTTTTCTTTGCCAAATATAGTTTAACTAAAACTGAGGTGAGACCCATGCCTAAACTGTGTTCTTGTACTGATTGGTGTTCAGCTTCTTAACTGAATTAAACTGTATTATATTATTCTTTCATTCAACTTACTTTACTGGCAAAATAAAAGCAAGGTTTATGAAAGATGAAAATACTCACTGCAGAGTAGACCTCCATTTTTCTTGGTTTTGAAGAGTTGACAGCTTGTTTAATACTGTTTAAAATAATATTCACAAGGACACCTTAAAAAGATGGAAAAAAATGTGGCAAGTGAAGGTATAATGTTTGAATGGAAACAAAAACCAAAATATTGTGAGTATCAAATATAAGATATCTACTCAGACCTCATACTCATTTTTTTAGCTTACAACGATTTTATAACTACAGAGAAGATGTTACAGAGGAGAAATATATGATTCATCATCCAGGTCAAGTGAAGAAGCAGGATTCACAGGAAATCATCTAGAACCATCCTGAGAACTGGGGATAATGACACTTCCAGTTCTGTTATGCTGAGATCCTTCCATCCTATTTTTGTTTGTAGTGTTGGAATAGTGACAGCTGTGCTGGTCTCTTCCTGTCTACATGCCAAAGAAATATTTTAACCATTTACTTCCAACAAGTCACATGTTATTGATTCTTCATTTTTTCCAAAGCTCTTTTGTACTTCTCCAGTCCAAAGGTATTCTAATGCCAATGGGTAAGCACAGCAGAAATTCCCTGAAGCACAATTTATGTCATTCTAAGGAAAGAGGATGTAACTGGTATGCCAGTGAGCATTAGGTGGATAGTCCTGACCATGTGACATGGTCATCTGCTAACTAATGGGCTTTACTGCAGATTGGAGCTTGTAATTACTATGTATTTGATCCAGACATGCGTATGCCTAGGTGATGGGTCTGCTAATAACTCTTTACCTAGATCTAGGCTGCACAGTAGGTGCATTAGAAAGCCTAGCCTCAAATGTTCCTGATTCAAGCTCAATTGTTTGGATTTCCTGCTCATGGATACCTGGGGATCAAAAGAGAAATTCCTGGGTTATGTCCTGAAGTAGTGTCAGAATGTGCAGCACAGTCTACATGCCTCAGTTTTGGAGCTAAGCAGTAGTTCCCAGTTCTTGTAATTCTTGCAGCATGGACACGGCTGGAACCTCTCTAATGTTTTGGAGCAGCTTTATATCACTCAGAGAGCTACAAATGTGTTGCCAGTGTTTTGACACAATGTATAACCAGTACATAAAAGGGAAAAACGAAGAACAGGAAGCAACTGGAAGAAATGTTGGAGAAACAACTTAATCTAATTTACTATAAGATAAGTAATGATCATAACTATGAAGGCCTGATTTATTCCCTTTGTTTTCTATAATATTTCCTAATCCCTTAAAAAAAAATGGAAAACCTGAAGATATTAATTTTTACACCTTGTTGCAGTAGCTTATCCATGCAAGTGCTGATGTTCAGCACATATTTAAATTCTTAGTATGGTATCCAATGTCCATAGTTTTGAATCAAATGTTTGTTTGAATAATTTTGCATTAATAAGTGACAGGATGTTGCATTATCTCCTCATTTCTCAGAGCTATGCATTTTTTATTTACCTCCTTGTAATCGTGATTTCTCTTCTGTTTTATAAACACCAAATAATGACATTAAGGACAATTCTGCCAGTTTTTCCATCTTGTTGATTACATCTTCAGTGGCCCATACAGGGAGAGTGTAATTGTGAATATCCTAGTGATGGAAAACAAAAACTGTTTATAATTCACTGGTTTCCGTCAACTTATCATCTACCCTCACGCTACTTAGTTTAGACTTTCTGAGGCTGTCCTGCCATTCTTTGCACAACATGGTTTTACTCCAGAGCATGCTCTGAAATACATTTTGTGGAAATGGGGAGCAGCCTGAAGTGAGTGAATGGGCAGAGCAGAAGCACCTGTGTGAAGGAGATTCTTTGTAGGTATAATGTGTTCTTGCTATAGAGATACATGTTTTTGGTAGAAAATGTTGCAGATATATGTCTTCTTCTCTTCCTTTCTCTGGTCATAAAGATCTAATTAATAGATTCTAATAAATTCTTTCAGGTTATAAATATCAAATTTTTTTTGCCTTTTCATACAGTTGTCCACATACCAGTTCTATCACTGGGCAATTAGAGACAAGTGTCACTCTCCTGTCATGTAATAGTGACAGTGTCTCATCATGTTTAATTACCTCAGTTTGTGGAGGATATGTTCAAAATCCCTCATGCACTGCTGGTAATGACTGGGGCCAAATGGAATTTTTCCATGCTTGGGGTCAGTTTGGGCTTTTTTTTTAACTGGTAGCAATAACTGTCTCAAATTTTTTTAACTGATAGATCTTTCATGATCTCTTGTGTTCAAAATCTTAAGTATTTTGATGTTTACCTGTTGATAGTTTAAAGCTAATAATTTAATTTCTCTGTTAAAAATCACAAATATATTACAGCCATCTTGCTGAATAATTCTATAGCAGCATATTGGGAAAGGGAAAAAGGGAATAATGGGAATAGTAACTTCTTCAAACATGAAGTGGAAATGACAGTCTCCCAAGCTGTAGACCATGTTTTTCAGTAATCTTACCAAAGCACTAAAATATAATTTAGATTCAAATTAAAAAAACTAAAAAAAAAAAAAAAAAAGAGAAAAAGAAAATGTAGGAGAGAATACAACTCATTCCTGTGAAAACACATTGTCATGGTTTAATTGAAACCCAGAGTTGGAGTTATATTCTTCTCCAGCATCTATTGATTTATTTTTTACCTCACAATGTAGAGTATCATATGTATTCCAGAGCTGGAAATTGTCCAGGATTTTAAGGTGATTTAGTTCAAGCCCTGTGTTAACTGCCATTGTTTGTAAAAAATCCTGTGGGGAAAAAGTGAAGAGAATACCACAAATACTCAATACATATGGAACATACATGCAGATAGATTCACTAACACCCAACCTTTTCACAGAATCACAGAACAAGCTGAGTTTAAAGGGATCACTGAGTCCAAATCCTGGCCCTGGACATGACATCTCTAAGAATTGCACCATGTGCCTGAGATCATTGCTTCTTGAACTCTGTTAGGTTTGGTGCTGTGACCACTTCCCTGGGGAGCTTCTTCCAGTGCCCAGCCACCCTCTGGGTTAAGAACCTTTCTCTCATATCTACCTAAACAGGAGTTTAATTTTTTTCATTTTGTTTTTGCATTTTAACAAAAGGAAAAAATGCAATTCCATAACTTTTACGACTTATCTACGTTTTTCTCACATCTTGGTGGTTTTTGTTTGTTTGCTTGTTTTTTGGTTTTGCTTTTTTTCTCTTACCATGTATGGTTGTATTCTATTTTGAAATTCTTTAGATGTTTGTGTTTCATGCTGAAGTTCATCAAAACGAGGACAGTTGGGCAGAGGAAAATTCAGCCTCTGAAACATGAAAAACAAAACATAGAATAGTTCTAAAATTATCAACACCCCTCTGTTTTTTCTGTTGCTGAGATTAATGGTGTAATATTTTTTAGACAGATTCATGGCTGCGCTAGACCTATTCAATAATTGTTTGTTAATCATTAATTCAGTTAACACAGGTGATGGACTGTGGTAACTTGACTTTCAAATGGCTACTTGTGTCTGTGATAACTTGATTTCCCTCAGTTTTACTAATTTTGACAAAAAGAAATTGCACATGCCTGTCAGGGGATTGCTTTGAGAAATGGGTCAGGGTCCATGATCAGAAATTTAAAAAAGCTACCATTTCCATCTCATTTTCTGCATTCCCCCAGATGTGACTTAACTCCACCTGGTACTGGAACTCAAATTGCTTCTCCATTTACACATTCAGGTCTCATCTGTTTGGGTATAACCACTGGATTATGGTAAGCATTTTAAGTACCATTTAATAGACAGAACTTGAAACAAGACTGACAAATTGTTCTCCTGAAATATCAAGAAGCTATGAGTCTGAGGGCTTGTTCTTCTTTAGGGATGTGGTTCACTTTTAATTACTACAAGTGTGTGCATTACAAGGTCACATGATAGTACATATTTACTATTTACAACATGTAAATAACCTTCTCTGAGCTCTGGCAAATATGGTTTATATCAATTGCAGAAAGACAAATGACACCTGATACAGCATAAAATGTCAGTGAAAAACCATGGTAAACAAAACAAACTTGTGCTGGTTCAGCACTTTATGTCACATCACTAGAGCATTTTTGACCCAGCACTAGTATTATCCTATACCATTAACAGACTGCACTTCCTGCAAGTCTCCAGAGGGAAGCTGGCAGCAGATACCAAATGACCCTAGCCCACTTCCACTTGGATAGGTTTCCAAGGGTGCAATTTTTCTGTGACAGCAGCACACTGGAGGATGAAATCTCAAAAGCTGCAATATGAAACTGGGAAACGTTGTTTAACTACACGATAACAAATATTTCTCTTATTGTATGTTTTAATTATCCCTCTCTAGGTGTTACTAATTAAGCCACTCCCTTTGGCTTCATTAAGCAGTACTCAGTACTGTTGTCTGTCAACTTTTGATAGATCTCAGTGGCTTAAAAATAAACTGTGATTATGGTTTTTTACAGGACTGCAGCTGGGTTTAGTTTCCCACTTTGTGTTGCTTGGGGCTTGAAAATACCTTCAAACATCTGTTTGGTTTAACAAGGGAACAATGTTTTTTTCCAGGTGGTTTGCATTAGAAAGGGCATTTGGAGTTGCTGCAGAGGTGTGTTTGAGAGAAGCATCAATACCCACTCCTGAAGCAGCCACAGAAGTGATGAGGTATTAGAGACTCCTACTAATAAGCTTGTCTTTATCAAACAGGTTATTTCATTTCATTGTGATTCCCCTAGGGGCTTTGGGGTATTATATGGCCACTTTAATACTTTTCTGGTCTTCTGGTGAAAGAACTTCCTCTGGTGTCCTGTATTTAAATAACAGTGACCGTGTTCTTTTCTGTTTAGGAACAGGGTTAAGTTTCTGGCTGAATCACACGTTGCCTAATCCAGTTTGGGGGAACCTTTTCATGTTTTCAAGCATGGTCTCCAAATATGGAGCAACATTAAAGGGAGAGAGGTGTGACAGCCCCCTAATGAGTGAGTACATCCTCTGATGTTGGTGACGGGCAGTTATGTAGTAGGGGATTTGTACAAATTTCCTTAAAGTCAAGTTCTGTCCTCAAAGCCAGAAGTAAATGAGGCTTTCTGTTATTATACTCAATAGCTTTTTATCCTTGTTGGCCAAACTGTTCTTTACACAGTCCGTGTCACAAGAGCAAGTGAAATTAAAATCTGAACCTGAGTCAGCCAGAGAGAGCTACATTAAGTAAAACTTCTACAGGACCTGTTATTCAGGTAGGTCTACTCTTATGATCTGCAAGAGAAGTGCTAGGGTTTCATTAAATGTTTCTATAGCACTGAGCATAAAAGAGCCCTTGTCTGTAATTAAAATTTCTAAATGCTACCAGAATAGGGAGGTAATAATTTTGAGGTCATTACAGTGGCTGGTGAAAATTTAATTCCTTGAATAAACTGTGGAACATACTTGCCAAAGAGACGAGGTCTGCCTAGTTGAGTGGTGTTTAGAAAAGCACTTGTTTCCTGTAAAGATTTAGGGCAACTTCCCTAGAATACTGTTCAAAAGTGTTCTAGCCAGAAGAAATGACCTTGGAGAAAATGGTAGAGTGTATGCCAATTCAGGTATTCTGCAAGTATGGAAGGAGGATTTTCATGTAGCTATTACAGTTGACCTATGACATACTTTTCAGACAGTAGCTGCATTTGATATTTTCTATTATATTGAACTCAAAAAGCTTAAAAAATGTTTTTTAGATATTTTCCTTTTTTCTGATCTTTTGATTCTGTGAAAGATTAAGATTTTATAGAATGCTTCTAGTCAGTACTCACCTGCTCTGTTGTTTTTTGAAAAACATGAACTGGAATGGGTTGCCAGAGAAGTTCAGGGTTCCAAATTTGGCTGCTAGTTGGTGGAAAGAGGCCAGAAAGATATGATTGGGCACTCATAATGGTGCGATCATAATCTGTACTTTGGATGTAAAACTGAAAATAAAATGGCAAAAAAATTAAAGATAAAATGAAAACTATAAAATAATAGGGGAATTTTACCCAACTTGTCAATACTGACTTTTTGTTTTCAGTTTTATATTTTTGCATAAAGTCAAAACAGTGAAATTGTAACTCAGCTTTCCAGGGCCCTACTTCAGTTTCACAAATGGAATTGCCAAGGCGTCTTTTAATTTGGAATATAACCCTCAGACTCAACTGAAAGAATAAGAAAGCATGATTTCAAAGAAGGATGTTCTCCCTCTTTAAAGATTCAGAGGAACAGTGATATGTGTAGACCTGGGGATGTGATTTAGTGGTGGACGGGTTAACAGTTGGACTTGAAATTCATAAAGGTCTTTTCCCACTAAAATGATTCTATGATCTATCAGTGATACCTCAGGAATGTTAAAGCACTCAAAAAACATAAACTTGTCTTGGAAGCATAGCAAAGGTCTTTCATACCTTTTCACAATGCATGCCTCCTATAGTTATATGTGATATACATATGTTAACATATGTTAAAGGGATCTTCCCTACAGTGGATCTGTACTGTATAAGTACATCCAAACAGCTGTTAGAGCTCTCTGTTACAGGAGGAAGTGTGTAAGCATGGCCCATCACATGACTGGATAGGCATTTACCTTTCAACAGGGAAAAACAATAATAGTCAATACACTATAAATTCCCAGCTCATTCATCCTGGAGCTGTTCAGTTTGAGAAAATTAGGTTGTGAAAGGCCCAAATAGAATGTAAGCACTGAAAATTAGACTTTATTCTGTGTTTTCACCTTGATGTAGGTATGACTTTCAAAAATGTCCTTCTATTACCTTAATTTTTCCATTAATGAAATGAGTATGATAATGTGCTTTTATAAGTCCATAGTTCTGCTATGCCAGAAAAATGTGCTGCAGACAGATCTGCTCTATACCTCTTGCCGGTTATAAGTGCTGTTCAAGAAGCTGGAATATCGTTTCCTCATGTACTGTCCAAGTTCAAATAGCTGCTGCATTCCAGTCTGTAAGGAAAGCATATGGGTGACTACTAGATTAAGGTGACTACAAACTTTTAATGTAGAAGTGTCTTTCCTATTTGAGCTTTTTAAGTGATCATTAACTGTTGGTATAATGTAATATTATTGTGGTTTAACCCCAGCTGGCAACGGAACACTACACAACTGCTCACTCACTCACCTCTGGTAAAACTGGGGAGAGTAAAAGTGGGAAAACTCCAGGGTTTGAAGACAGTTTGATATGCAAAGCAAAAGCCACACATGCAAGCAAAGCAGAACAAGGAATTTATTCACCACTGCCCATGGACAGGCAGGTGTTAAGCCTCCAGGAAAGCAGGGCTCCATCCCAGTTACTTGAGAAAACAAATGACATCAAGCTGAATGTCTGCACCTTCCTCTTTTTCCACCATTTTATATGCTGAGCATGGTACAGTATAACTCTTTGGTCACTGGAGATCAGCTGTCCCAGCTGTATCCCCTCCCTACTTCTTGTGCACCCCAAGACAAATGCAGCATGGTACAAGAAGCAGAAAATCCTGTGAATCTATGTAAGCCATGCTCACATAACTCAGCAGTAACAAAAACATCCCTGCATTATCAGCATGGTTTTCAGCACAAATTCAAAACAGAACCCCATACCAGCTCTCTCTAAGCCAAAATCAGAACAGCTGCGTATGTTGCAGGTGATCTAGAATCTTTAACAGAAATGGTCACTTATATCTATGAAGAAATAATACGTTCTGAAAGGCTAAGATTGCAACACCTGCTACAGAAAGGCAATATCCCTGATTCTATACAAATATCCACAGTGATGTAGATCTGTAGACATCCATCAACATTGTCCTTTACAATATATATCATATAGAGACAGCTGAGAGAGGATGATTGACAACCTAGTGTTTATCATTGTCATTGCTCTGTTATTTGTTCAGCCTTATAAATTTGTGGCTTATATTTCATGCCTTAAGTAGCCTTCTTCAGTCTTTGCCTTGGTGGGCCTGCAGTTGTCTTAGGCTGCACACTCTTTTCTGTTATTAATTTCTAAAGCCTGAGCTGAAGTTTTTAACTTCTTCTGTCAAAGAAGTACATTCCTACTACTTCCGTTGCTAAAAAGATAGCAGAATAGCAAAAAGCTCTCAAAAAAGTCAATGCCAAAGCAGGAATATCTTAGTACATAAGCTAGTAATAAGATAGTAATGCATTATTTCACTATCTGAATTTTACAGATCTTTCAAGCCCCCCTTCAAACTTTAGACACTGAACTGTCTGGTTTGTACTTCTGCACCATGACAAAGTATTATTAGGATATGCATTGGCTTCCTTTTGCTCCAGAGCTTATGTCAAATACAATCAAAGAGATAAGGCTTGATGTTAAAATGCCAGAGCAACAAGTAGGTACAGTGTATCCTAGTGAAACTCTGGACTGCAAGTGACCTTTTTAGAAGACACATTGTCCCCAGAAGCAACCTTCTCCTGCAAGGCTTCTCTTGTTTTGTGAATTGGTGGTTGTCAGTCCAATGATGAGATGTGGATTCCTCACTTGACTTGGTGGGCAGGTGTCATGCCTTTGCACTGTCACAGGGCTCAGTACTTAATGTTCATTAGAACTTCATCAGTGTTAACAGTACAGTGTTTAAATTTGCCATTTATTTGAATGCAGACACACTATCAAGAAGTTTTTGCTTTTAGGAAGATAATTCTAAAGCTACGATGAACAGGATTTTAATTTAGCAATAGCTGAATGAATAACATTGCAAAAATGTTTATGAATTACTGGTATTGGTATTTGCTAATAGTAAAAATCAGAACCTAGGATTTGCTAATGCTTTTGAGACACACATACAAAACCTCTTCCCACTTCCTCTTTTAGTAGCATTTTTAAGTTCTTCTAAGAAAGTCAACATACCTTGGTGAGTTGTCCAAATCCCTGGGGCCATTCGCTTTCTTTGTGTAGATCAGTTGGAAAGTTTACAATTGGTGTTCGGTCACCATGTCGGAAAAGCTGACAACGTAAGCAATAAAAACCCCCTGAGTTCATTATTTTCAACACTCCTTCCGTATCTAACTAGAAGTCATTATACTTCCAGTGAAATTTTTCAAATTAAAATATCGGAGAGTCTGCAGAAACCTGGTCAAGTAGAATGTGAATACATTATTTACAGTCAAGAATATGTATACTTATATAGGAATTAAGTAGGCATAAGCCTGGTGATTCTTCCTCCTAGAACATGAAATTAATCACCCAAGATGTTAATGTTGGGATTGTGTTCACAGCTAGGCATATGGACAGGAAATATGACTGAATTTTGGAAACTCAGTGCTTCTGCATATTGAACCAGTTACTGATGTGTTTAGATTAGTATATAGTAACTTTGTCATAGACAAAAGGCTTGAAATTTTTTGGTAACTTTTTTTTCATAGCAGTGTCTTTAAAAGTAGTTCTATGTACACACAGATCTTATTCTCAGTTTCTCAATCATCCAAAAATATAATGATTAAAGAGTATAAATGTTTGCACTGTTAGCTTACTTAAATAATACTTACCTTATTAAATTTTTAAATGCATAAATAAAAATATTTTTTTAAAGTCTGTAGGATTTATTTCTATCAAATTCAGTGAGAGCAAAGAGTTTGGTTGCTTTACTGTCCTGGACACTCCAGCATGGTGAGTATTAGTGTGATACATTCAATCATATGATTTTTTATCAGAAAAATTAAATGAACATTTTGTATTTTTATTCCAGCATACAAAGAAAATTACAACCCTAGATTAAATGGTTCTGAAAAACTGAATTATCTCCCCGAAGCATATGCTGCATGGGATTAGAAAAATTAAATCCACAGAAGTTTCACATGAAAGGAAATGCTGGAATACAAATTCACAGGGATCCAGACAACCTTCCAGGATGCTGACCCAAATTGTTGGAAAAGTAACCTTTGCTTATCAATGTTCCCATCACCTGATTTAGCACAATAAAATGACAATGTAGCAGCATGGTATATTTGTTAATAAAATGACATTTATGCCCTAATACCTCAGTGGTACATAACTTGCTTATAATTAATACTCTCCATTGCCTCATTAAGCCACATCATTCTTGCCCAGACTTCAGAGAGGGTTGTACACACAAGTTAGTTTGCCACTCCCACTTGGAGATGTTTCATGTTTATATTTTTCAAAGTAAACACCAGCGTTGTGACAATGTTTTAATTACAACACACACCCTTTCCATCAGCCTTCTCTACTAATGTATATGAACCTGTGCTAAAGCAGGTACTTCAGAGATGGAAAATTCTGTCCATTAAAGGCAAATAGAATTGGATTTCTCCGTCTTCATTTTCTACAATAGACAACAAGGTTTGCTAAAGTTATCATTAGAACATGCAGGAGACTGCTTATTATGTTTTTGTTAGTTGAATTTCACTATGTGGCCAACCTGAAATGAATATTTTGCAGCAAATCAAGGAGGGTTTTTACCCCTCATCATCAAGTTTGTTGTTTGGGTTTTGTTTTTTTTATTTCCTTCTCTGTGCAAATTTTAATCCTCTTTAAATCTCTTTTCTTACTAATTTGGAATCTCAGTTGGTTCTTAATAGCAATTTCTCAGTTCACCTGTATTGAAGTGAAGACCAAATAAAGAGCTACATTGTCTGGTAGCTGATTCAGTTGAGTGCAAGAAAAATGAGTGAGAAGGGCTTTTGTACTACTGCTCATTTCCTTATGCTGATGTACATAGGTGTCAGGTAGGATTCATTAGTTTTCCTGGACAAGCTGGTACCTGTGTCAAGAATGGAGGTTACATTCCCAATTACAATATAGCTGCATCCTCCCTTGTTAAATTATCCAGCTTCACAGAACTTTTATAGGTAACTTACAATTATTCAAACTAACATGTTTAAATGACTAATTTTTATGCATATTTTAGGCAATACTTAACAATAGATCAATGCTTGGCCATAGAGATGCCCTTTTTATTACTGAAACATTACTGACAATGTGTTAGATTTTTAAACTGGTTTGTGATGTTTTATATTTAATGTGTGACATAACCCTGAGTGTGTCTCAACAGTCACTGTCACAACAGTCAACCCCTAACAGCTTTCAATAAGCCAGAACATAGCAGCATTTTATCTGAATAGAGGTTAGTGTGCAAAAGAACCAAGATGAAAAGATCTATTGAATATATGAGCAGGAGATATAAAGAAAAGTATTTTATTTCTTTGTAACCTTAAGAAATTGAAGGAGTGGAGGGTGTGCTCCTCGAAAAAGAAGCACCGTTCCTTTAAGTCTACACAAGATAGGAATCATTCAGCTCCTTGTTCATATTTCTGCACCTTCATTGTACAGTGTCACATAAATATGATATGAACACTAAGCTGGAAGCAGCAAGAAGGGAACAAACACTTAAAAAAGCAGAGCCCCATTTTTAGGAATTGAAGGACAAAGTTTAGCTTGGTTTTTGTATGTGTTCCAACCTCTTTGCTACTCCTTGCTTCAGCTGCAAATGAAACAACCATATGAACAACCACTTAACCTGAAAGACTAACTCGTTCATTCACAGCTACATCTTAGGAGACTTTTTCCAAAGTTTGAAACTGTGTTTGTCATTAGAACACCTGATAGGAAGAGAAAATGTATCCCTACAGATCTTGCCTTACTCATCAATATTTGTTTCTCAACACTCATAATTTCAACTTTGTTAAAAATAAGTTGATTCTTCCAATTAATTTAATAATATGTGTGCTCTAGCATTTATTACTCCTGGCCTGGAGATTGCCTTCCTGGCCTTTCAGGAGACACAGAACATGGCAGAATGAGAGAAGAGGAGCAAGGAAGCATCATAAATAGTGAAAAGACACCAGAAATCAAGAAGGAGGGGATTGTAATGGGAATGTACACAAGAAGAGCAAAGCCCATCTGCTTGGTATATTAATGCTGGCACTCCTGTTGAAGCGCTTCACCTCAGTTCTCAAAAGCAGTAGGTGGATAATTACCAAACCCATTACCCTCTCCTACTCTGAGACAGCTTGAACCTGATTTGGTATCTGGGTTCATCCATGTACTCTTGGTAACTTTGTGAGCATGATCGCTCATATGAAAATGGCCACATGACTCAGACTTTGGCCAGCATTTGCTTCCATTGTTGTCAGGTGAAAAATCATATTGGAGACAAACTGATGTAGGGGAGAGGGTGAACTGAGAATATGGCATGCGTGGCATACACATATATACATAATGTCTTCCTTTAGAAATGTCATGAAATACAGCAAAGTATCTGTCTCTGAATAATAGTGAGCCTCTTGCAGACACTTCTATTGACACACTTAACTGCAAAAAAATGATTTCTTGCTTTGCAGCCAGCAATAGGAGTGAAGAAACAAAAGTGAAGTGAAACCATAATGCTGCCAGTTCAGGGGAACCAGAGATGTAGAAATGCTGGACATGTTTAGTCAAGGTTTCAGATGGCTTGGCTTGATTAGACAAATCACGCTGAGATAACATGCTCAGTCAACGCTTCCTATCCTGAGTTACAAGAACAAAGACATGATGAAACCACAGTGCCTCAGAAACCACACCTCTTTGTACATGTGACAGGTGAAATGTGTGTGTGTGTGTGTAGAGGCAAAAGGTCCAGGTCGGAACTTTTTTAAACAGAGGCGATAAATCAGTATTTCATTTCTACTTAGGTGCCTGATTGTCCTACATATTTTTTATTTTCCTCTTTCTTTAAATTTAAAACTTGAGTTATTTAAACTCTGCCTTTAATCTTAAATTCAGTGCACAAGAGTTACGGTAAAAGCTGATGTTTTCATGTAAGCAAAGAAATTGAGAAAGCATTTTGACAAATTGGCTTGAATTAGAGCTTTTCAGAGAAAAGGGCTTGTGGCCAATAATCAAAATGCACAGAATCAGCACAAAGTTGGAAGTTGTGAGAAGAAAGCGAGACCCCATCCTAGGTACCGTACAATTCTAGAAGTGAGCAAAAGCAAACTTTTATCTGTATTTCTTCTCCCCTGCAGTATTTTCTATTGTGCAGTTCTGCTAAGGAAGTTTTAGAAAGTCATTATGACAATTTTCACAAGGCAGTAATACTCCCAGGTGAAAACATAGTAACTTACAAAGGACAACCTGACAATGGCTATTGAAGTATGTCAGAAAGATGCCTTTTAGACTTACCTCAAATGTACCAATACTCTCATTATATCCCATTATATTAGTGATATATTCTGGGGTCAATTCCTGTGCTATTTACTTGTACTAGCAAGTCTCTTTCTATGAAAATTCAATCAGTGAGTTCAGAAGGCAAAATTCAATAGAGCATACATAAACCATGCCTTGAGAGAAGAGATGTATATTGTGATAAGATTAAACCAATTGTAACATTTTATGTGATTGGTCAGCCTAAGCAAAAGTAACAGGAGTAAAAGGAAGACAGCTTAAATGAAATTTACCTACTATTTTAGTGTTTATTGGGATAAGCTACCCTATAAATTGTTTGGGGTTTATTTTTTTTTGTTAGGTGGCTGCACAGTTATGGTAAGCCGATGATTTTGGAAAAGAAGCCTCCATCTCCATAATGGTAACCATCTCCAGTAACTTTCTGCAAAACCATTGCTTGTCGTAACACAATAACAGCTACAATTCAATAAAAATTTCATTCCTTTCAAGGAGTTAATGCTCCAAGGCTTGCTGTCTACCTGTTTTCAGCTTTGTCTAGTTCTTCCTGTTATCACTGAAAAAACATGTAAATGTATTTCTATATACAGAATGTTAGTAGAATTAGCGTCAGGTCCCTGCTATGTGTGGTGTCTCAGCAGGAGTAGGAACTGGTTTTTCCTGTGCACTCTGGCCTTCCTCCAAGCTGTGCGTGCACAATGCATGTGGCTACACATGAAGTACTCTATCTAGAGTCAGATGATATGTCTTGGACACAGTATTTCTGCCTCACAACAGTATGCACACATAATGTCTCATTTAGAGTAAGGCTGTAGAAGATCTTCAATTGCCTGTTTATAAAAGTTCATCCCAATCCCCTCAACTTTGTACAGAAAATATTCATTTGGACTAACTATTCTTTATCATTATACCTTTTATTTAAAAAAAGAATGGAAAGGACTATGGTTCACCTTCATAATTCAAAGTATTACATTGAATTAATGTCTCTTTTTCTAGATGTATTTGGGAAAGTGACATTTAAGTCGTGTTTAGCTGCTTTGAAAGAAGAAATGGCCCAGCATAAGAATTATTACAGCTGTTTTCAGCCTAACTGAAGTTAAGGCAACACGTCTCTCAAATCTCTACTTAAAAATGCCTGTCTATTTCTGTTTCTCAGTATATTGCTGTGACAATTCAGTTATTGTGAAATGGAAAATATTTATTTTGTGTGCTGATGTGTAGTAACTTCTGTAAAAGCATAAGCTTCAGCTCCAAGCATAGAAGAGGTAGTCCAAAATCATGAGCTCTCACACTATGCACTAAGTGAGAGATTGTCAGCTAAACTAAGGAAGAATAGGTAAATGTGGACTTCACATCTCTTAACTCCTCTGCAGTATGCTTCTACCACAGTCAGTTATCTTGAAATAATAATTGGAGATTAGGAAAAGAAAATTCTAATAACTGGAGACATTTTTATCCTTGTTAAGGTAACGTCTTTAAACTCAGTTAGCAAAAGGGCAGCAGTACTTATTTCTAAGTTTGAAGACAGGCAAAGAAACTGTACACATTGTCTGATTCAACAGGCATGTAATTCTGTCCCTGTATTCCCCACAACAAAACATAGAACAAATCTACTTACTACAACCACGAACTTCAGTTCTCGTGCTGCAGTAGTCTGTTGAAGCAGAATGAGAGTAATGTGAAAAGAAAAACACAGGATCCTAGACAAGTTGGGAAGCCGTATCGCACCCATCCTGACAGAAGAGGAAAAAAGACTTTGTAGCTCCAGCAGCTGCTCAGGCTGAACTGCAAGACGTCAGGCTGTACTTTCAGAAGGGGTGGAACTGCCGCTGGTGCATTTCAAATCCAAGAGGAATGTTGTGTGACTACGCAACAAATTGCATTGCCCTTTGTTTTCAAATTACTGTTTACATTCTTTTTAATCAAATCATTATTCAGTTCCCTTTTTTCCTCTAGTATTTTTCTCTTTTAGAGTATGAAGGTGAAGTTAAAATACAAAGAAATTGCTAAGCATTCCTAATGTTTCAACTTACCTGTTCTGTTTCAACTTCTCAGTACTTGGAATTTTTCCAAACTATATCATGGCCACGAGGATGAGCTAAGAACCAAAACCAGACAATATTGTTTCTCTTTGCTGCTCAGCTAGTCCAATTTTCAGCTACCTCACCCTCCCTTTTTTCCCCCTCTTCAACATTTTCCCTGTGAAATCAGAATAACTATTAAAAACAACATTTCATGTGGGTTAAAATTGCCAGTCCCTCAGATAAAATACTCAAAAAGATCTTGTGACAAGTACGTTCTTTAAGATCCTTGCTGGGCAGTTATATGCTCTTCAATTTGTTTGTGTTATTTTTCTTTTCCCTTGAAGTATTCCTGTACTTCCCCTTTGGAGCTGCTTATGTTGAGATCTATTTTGGCCTCAAATCTTTAAGAAATTTCTTGTGAACAATCCCTGGATCTCACATTTTTACTGTTACTGATTAAAAACCCTCTTTCTGACAGTAGCTCAGTGGCTTTGAGGAGATTGCTAATCTTGTCTCTGCTGACGTTCTCTCTATAAAATAAGAAGAATGATACCTGTAGACTTTGATTCAAAAGCACTTTTTGAGTGATGAATTAGTTTGCAGAGATCTATTAGTAGAGTTCTTTAAATGCTAAAACATTAGGTCCTTTATGTATTCTCATTACATTACTATCACACCCAAACCTGTCTCAGGTCTTCTGCTGAGCTCTCTTCAGCAGTATTTTCTACAACAGGTGTTTTACCACTTACCAGAAATTCCATCTTTAGGGCCCTAAAGCCCACTAAGCCTCAGGTATTCTCTCCTCTGAGTTGTGTGAATGTCCTTATGTATCCATTTTGTCTGATGGATGGGAGGAGTATGACAGCTCCCAAACTTTCCTGTCTGTCTTCTCAGTCCATTACAAGTTTTCATCAGCTGAACTTCTTTCTTCCTCCCCTGTTAGGTCCCCACCCTCCTTTTTGATCTCTCCTGGTGTGATTTTTGCCTATGCAGAAGGTGTATGAGAGTAATCTACGCTTCATAAATATGTAATATGTTGTCTTTCTGAAAACAAACATAAGCTGATCATCTTCCTCCATTATTTAAGAGTGTAGGTCATAAAATACACTTTCTTTAAAATACTTTAATATATCTCAAAACTCAGAATGGATGTCCTACTTTTTTAATCTGCGTAATGAATGATTCCTAGGATGTTCGATTAAGGATCACTGTTGCCTCTTGGAATCTTTTCTTATCCTTCTGATGACCTTTCCATGAAATTCATAACTGACTAGTTTTTTGTAAGATTTGGTTTATTGTGTTTCATTGATGAGTGTCTATGATCACTGAATTAAATCTGATGACTTCACTTTAGAACCTGAACTCATTTTTTTGGGGGTGGGGGCGCAGATTCTGGATAGCATCATTCAAGAATGTTTAAAAATATATGACAATGACATTTTATAGAAAATATTTTCTAATGTCTCTTAAAGATGATACTTCAACACAAGACCAAGCATATGGTAAGTAGTAGTGATTTCTGTGGTTTCACTCTACCCTTGGCATGTATGCTTTGTTAGGGAACATATTTTGTGCTCAAAAGAACAGGTACCACAGCACTTAAGTGAATGTCTAGACATTCCAAAATGGAAAAATATCCCCATTTATGTGCCATACTGGTTAAGATAGAGTCATGTAGAAATCCTGTATGCAATCTGTAAGTATGTTAGTAGCATACATTTAATTTGGATATTTTCTTGCCTTTCTGGAATTATCTGCATTTCTACTGGGCATTTGGAAGGTATAAACTCATCATATTATGCAGCAACTAAATCCTGGCATTTTTTCAAGAAAAGTTGCTTCAAAATAACAACAAAAATAAAATCCTTCTTAATCTATTTATAGTTGTTGAACCATTATATTGCAAGTGAACCTAAACAATTTAAATCATGTTTATGTTAATTTGGCTTTTTGTCATAAGTTCTAATTATGACTTTATGGCATTAAGTCGAATTAAATACAATTACAAATTTTAAGTGCACGTACCTATCTTAAATGCTTGCTGAAGCCTTGATTTGCTTTGAAGTGGCTGGTTGCAAAAGAACCTGTACTTTATTGTACAAAAGGGTTACATGAGGTAACCGCTGCTGGTGGAGCACAACCTACACCCTGAAATGGTGGAAGTCACTGCAGTCAAAGCACCAGGGATGAAACTGCTGCCAGCACTCAAGTACCAGGCTGCTCACACAGGGAAACAGCTCAGGTCCTGCTTCTGACTGCATGTGCAGATCAGCACTTACCATAATTTGGATTTATCTCCAATTTATTTTTTCCAAGCTTTTTTTTTGAGCTGAAAAAGGGAAAGAAAGAAAATATTTGGTTTCAGTAAACGAAGTGACATTTTTCAAGCACCATTCTGAAACACAAGGGAAACAAGACTTTCACTGCCCTCTGGGGAGGGTTTTTACCCCAGTTGTGGGGAGTGGGAAGTCACAAGGCAGTAAATTTGTGACACACAAAGAATTCACTTACTTGTACTGCTGACATGAACATGAACCTGTATCTTACACTACAGAAAAAAATGTCCTAAGCCCAAAGTTACTGATCTAAGGTAGGTGGGGGGAAGAAAGTGCCTGTTCACTGTCTATTCACTGTCTTCTAATAATTTCTTAGTTGTCCCAAGTTTGTAATATGCACCTGTAACAGGGCACTCAGAATTTCTTCTTGATCCTACAAGATTAAGATGTTTGCCTGAGACAAGGGAAACCTAATTTGCAGGGTTTGCAAAAAACAAAGTGAACAGCAAATAGGAAAGAAACAGAAAGCACTATTCCTCTTCTCTTATCCCCTGAAGCTCTGCAGTTTGGTGGTGATTTTATTTTCTGGTAGAGATGGACACAAATCCTTTTACCAAAGGAGGGATTTGAATTTTTTTGCCACATCTTGGATAAGTACTATGAACTTATTATGAATAAATTATGAATAAAAAGAAGGAAAACCTACTTCTAGTACAGTCACACTGTATTAGGAACAGTAATAGTGACGACACAACTCTCTAGCTTAGTTGCAAAAGAGAGCAACTTTTATTCTTCCAGATTTTCTTCTTTTATAGACAGTTCTGAAAAGGTCCAGAAAGGTAAAACCTCTCATTGGTCATCAAACCAACACATCACCATCATTGGACAGTTAAGAACAACACCCCTTGACTGTTTCTTGCGAGTAAACAACAAGGAGACAAACAACACCTGCAAAGCTTGTTTTCCTTCTGTTAAGGAGGAAAACAAGGACTGTTTGAGTTCCTCCTCACAATTTCTCATGGCACACTTTCTCAGCCCAGTGTGAGAAAGTTATGTGACTTAGTTTCACACAGACACAGTGCTGCCTGATCTCTTGTACTACCAGTACACAAAGTACTACCATGAAACAAATCTAAATTAGTTGACTAATTTGATCAGCATTTGGATTGTTTTGGGATTCTTTCTTTAATTCATTTTTGATAGTCACCTCAGTAAATAACCCCAAGAGAAATGGGTTATTTCTCTTTAATGAAATTAAAGAGAATTTCTATTTAATTTATTATAAATTAATTAATAGAAATTAATTTATTATTTCTATTTCTATTTAATGAAATTAAAGAAAATGATAGTTCGGGCTGTCAGGCTGTTGCCAGTGTCAACTTTTCAGGGCAGCACAAAATTACTTTTGCTTTTCTGTTGTTCATTCCCCATTTTGCTGACACTGCTGCAGCATATTAAAAGAAAACAGTGATCACAAGTTATATCCAGCTATATTTCAGCATCTATGACTATCCAGGTTATTGAAGCAAGTCTTCTTTAAAATATGACTGGTCTGTCTAAGCATTGTTTGTGAAAGAAGAGAGGGACTGCCATATCCAGGTGATTCTGATTCTGTGTTTGCAACATATTTTAAAAGTAAATAATCTAAACAATTCCAAAGCCAAACTGTATGGGTTTTTTACTTATTTTGACTCACTTCGTTAAGAGGAACTGAAATGAACCTGTTTATGACTTCATGCCTGCAAAAGACTGTAAGACATTTTTCAAATTAAGTCAGGTGGTGAAGTTGTAGGAAAACACAGAGCAGTTTATTATTCATTCACTGACATCCCACTTTATATTCCTACAATAGATCTGGGCTTTATATTCCAGACTTTATAAACACTGATGCTCATTTTCCCTCTGAGTTAGATAGATATAAAGGATATCTTCCTTTCTGTGTTTCTACATTGATAGTCTTAGAAACAAAATGCACTACAAAGAATGTGTGTGATGGGGTTTCTGTTCAATAGGGATAGGGGGAATAAAATACTTTAGAAATATCTTAATTTGTAAATTAGATTTGAAATTTTATTTTTTCTCAGCAGAAACTAGATTATTCAAGGTATATACACTGGTGCATGTAGCATGGAAGAAGACATTGTCTTAACATGTGATGGAAAAGGGGAACCTTACATTGTTGTATTGTAAGCAGTGACCTCACATAGGATGTACTTCCATAACTGAACAGAAGCTCTGAGGCCAGGGTCCACGATCCCCCATACCAGACAAATCTCTGGAACAAAGGGTCTTCATGCAGTTTTGAAAATTTTCAAGACATGGATTTGGGTTAGGAAGGAGGGGAGGAACTGGGAACTGGAGACTAAAGAGAATAATGAAGAATTCTCAGGTCTGTATCACGTTTTGTGTGTGAGCATTGTCCAATTCAGAAAACCAACAGAAAAGTTATCCTTACTTTTGATGGGAGAAGCATGAAACTTAGCCTTTACAGCTCTTGAACTTTCACCTCTAAACATCTGGCAAACAAAACATTAAAAGAAGCTCAAGCACCAAAATATGGCACGAGTTCAAAAATGAAGAAACCACAACAGGTTGAGAAGAAAAAGTGCCTAGAAATTTGGTTTTGACAGCCAAGGCTACAATCTGTTAGAAGTCTAACACTGATAAAGATGGAGTCTTGGCTTTTCCTTTCTATTTGCTTTCGTCTAGCAGGTTTTTTTTAATTACTTCTTAGGAAGGGAGGTGTGATGATCAGCGTGGCTTTGAGATGAATAACTTAAAGAGCTTGCACTAACTTTCCTGTGAGGGCTGCCAGATCTGGGAAGACTTTCTTCTGGGGTCCATTGTACATGAAGGTACTATAGAATAAACAAGCTTGCTCTTCTTTGCATTAAGAAGCAGCTAGAACTGGTTGTCTCGCATTGTCAGAAAACATTTTTACCATTGTTTGGATGCAATGGTAAAAGGGGCTGCATTTCAAAATCTAACTACAGCTTTCCTGGTGAACTGTATTTCCTATGGTGGCTTAAGAAGTACAGAAATTTGGACCTGCTGGGAAGAGAATAGGCATTTACAGTGAGAATTCTGAAACTTAGATTCTTGTTGGAAGGAAAAGTGATCTTTTTATTATTTTGATTCATTTTTAGCTTGTGGAGTGGCAGTTATCTGCTTCTGCTGTAAGGAATATACTTTTCATAGGTTTAGCATCCATTTTAAAAGCCTGATCTGAGGAAAGGAAGCCAGAATGGTGAAATTTTCTGTATCTCAGCTGCTACTCTAGTTCTCTTTGGAATGACCTGTGGGCAATAAGACTGTTGGCAAAAGGTCTTTTGCCAGCTGTGAGAAAGCAAAAAAATAAGAAATCATAGTTCTTCAAGAAAAGACATGTCCACTGTTTTCAGAAGTTAGTTGCATCTGATAGTTCTGATCTCACTTGTATAGTTAAAACGTAAGCTGTTTTTGCAATAGCAATATTAGAAAATTTAACTAGCGAAGGATTGCCCAACATGTTCTGCGTGTTTTAATGAGCATGCAGCTCTGATTTTTTCTTTTTATTTTGTATTGCCATTTTGTTGTTCATGTCAAGAACAGCATCTACTTACAGATTTCCCAGGAGAACAGACTTTATATGATCAGATCAGAATATACAATCAAAGTAACATTACAAAAGGAAGGTGTTAAAAAAGCTATTTGAAACCAAAAATTATTTTTCTTCCAAAATTAACACTTGTCTTTGCTGTCTTTTTGGAAAGAATATCTGAAAGCTTTGTTGGGTCAACCAGTTGTCGCTAGGTCTTCATGGTAGCCAACCTGGCTGTTTATAAGCCCCTTTTAGGTCTAGAGTCACAGTCCAAATTTTCCTTAAGTCTCATCTTCCTTCTGCGTAGAGACGGGATATCTGTGCATGTAAAAGAGAAAAGAAGAAGAAAGACATTTCTTAGGTAAGTAATCAGGCATTATCCTAATTCTTGTGGCTTCTGAGGTCTGTTGATGTAAAATGATTCATTACTTCTTAAATAAAATAAAGTCTAAGGACAGTGGAATGTCTCCTTCTTTTAGGAGTCATTTGAAACATTGCTTCTGTCATCAGTTCTGTAAGTTCTTGTCTCATTCTTCAAAAGAGGGCAACACTCCTTCAGAGGTATTTTCCAATTTTGCTGTAAATCTAGGCTATAGCTCTTCAAAACACTCTCCCTATAATTACACAGTTGAATTAATTCTGACAATGTCCCTTTTGAAAGGATAGCTCTTGAAAAATTCCACTGGTTTCATATTTCACTTGGGTTTTACCAGGTGATAAAGTAAAGCAAATACTCACGAAGAATAAGTCCCTGCTTTCTATAATTTTTGTTTGTAGTATTAAGGAATGTTTTGCTTTGATAGAGATCAGGAAACTCAGTTGGTCATGCTGATGGAATTTAATGAGAAATGTTGCACCACAGTCATGTCACAGTGTGGGGAGAATTCTTTCATAAAGTGAACCACACTGAAGATAATGGAGGGAACACCTAAAGGTAGGACAAAAGGCGGATGCATTCTTAGCATATGGCATTCTCTGAAAACATGGCAAACCTGTTAATAGTACCTCTACAAGTAAGCAGTTCAGACTAAGTGGAGAGGAGTTATCACATTTGCTCCCGTTCTGACAGCATTAGGAAAAGTCTGTTGAAACGTTGAGTCAATCCATGCTGAAATTTTCCTGAGCAGCAAAAAGAGCAGAGGCAGAGCTCACAGTTTTACCTCCCTCCCAAATATGCTGAGCTTTATTCATTTCCTATGTTTCACCCTCTGGTCATTGAGATGTGGAGGAACTTATGATTTAAATCACCCTTAAATACTGCTATTGTACTGCACAACCTTTAATAACAATACTTGCCTTTATTTCCCTGTAGTGATGACGTTAAGTCCTCTCCATAAAACTTCAATTAAGCTTTTTATAGAAACATCTGTATGTTTTGCAAACTGGAGTCTCCCTGTAGAAGAGTTATTTCTATAAACTGTCCTTCTAAGCTCAGTCACACTCCTGGATTTTATTTTTTAAAATAATCACATCTATGGGCTTCATAAAATGCTCTCATGCATGTATAATCAAATTAATAACATATGCATTAGCAAATAAAAATAGTTGAGATGATTTTTAACAGAATTGGAAACAGCTGAAATCAGGGATTTTGCAGCTGTGTCAAGTGTAATTGTGACCTCTAAACTCTTTGCACCACTCTTCTCCTTAATTTAGCTTCCTGGTGTTAAAAGTCATCTGTTCAGGCTGTCTGCATTCATTGAGAATTGGTAGTGCACAGCGGTTTAGCACAAGGCAGTCTGTCAGCATGCTGCACTGTGCAGCCTGTGGATCAGTGTGCCTTGGCCTTTTCCCAAGTGCCACCCATGCACAGCAGAGAGTTTAAAACTGCCTGCAGGTAAAGTGAAATTAATGTTTTCTAAATTAGTCAAAAAAATTAGGATATGGCCCCAATAGGTCTGTTCTGAGCCAAGATAAAATAGTAGAAGATGTCAAATTTTGGTATGACAATATAGGCAACATTTTTATTGGAGTATCAGGTTTGGTTGTAACCTCTCTTGTGGTCCATGTGTGTTTTCAACACTCAGGATTGCTAATGAAAGCAGTGATGCTGGACTTGGTGTAAAATGGCTGAATGCCATCTAACTTCTACATCAGCAAAATTTGAGGATTGAAATGAAGTACAGCCTTTATGTAAAGGCTAAATATTTGTGTCTTTATTTTTGTAAAATTTTGATATATGATAGATTTTTTCATTTATTTATCTGATCAGTTACAGTTTGCTTTGTGAAGGAGGGGGATTTATTTCCAAAAATCTTAGATTATTAAGCACCACAGTATAAATATGAAGTTTTTATCATTATCTTCCATGACTGTATTAGTAGTGTGGCTGGAAAAAAACTTCATCAGAAACAACCTCTCCCTTCCTCTGCCAAATTACCTTTTGCAATTAAATGTGGTAATTTCCTGAAATATTTCCTGAGAATTTGTGAGCAATGACTATAGAGAAGAAACTTGTTTAGTGAATCATTAGTTGCTAATTTTTCATTTATTCTGGCCAGACTATCTCCACTCTGTTAATGGATTCAAGATATTTAACAGGAAATTATTTTCAACCAGATGAGTTGGCTGGTCTACATTCTTATAATCTCCAAGAATTCAAATTCTTCTTGAGATCAGTGATTCAGAAAGCCATATGGGATTTTTTTAATGTTGGGTACAATATTTGAACACTAGAAACTGAGGTTTCTTAGCTTTTCATTTCCCTAAGCAACATAGAGCTAGATAAAAGATAGACAATGCTGTCCTGTTCCCTCATTCTGCAAAACTAAATATTGTAAGTGGTCAAAATGGAAATTTAAACATCCTAATATGGTGATATAGACAACCTACGAGGGAATGAGTTAGTATCCCAATGTGTGTCTGTATACATTTGACATTCTGTAAGTACCAATCTGGTGTACTATTCAATATTCATCTGTTTTGATCTCTGAATGCCTGCTAAAATCAAGAGAAAGCATAATTGTTGACTGTTGTTAGTAAGCTTGGACAAATACTCTGCAGTTATTCTCTGCAGAGAAGAACAGAGGACTGTTTTAAGTCAGTGCATTTACATGTACTTCTTTAGTAACTGAAGAGATTTTTGACTGTACTAAACCAAAACAAAAAAACCCCACATGAAAAACAGTACCCTAAAGTCAGATCAGCCTTGGTTTCATTTCACCAGAAAGTTGGTCTGGAATAGACAAGTGTATTGATGGAGTAGAAATGACAGCCATGGTTACAATTCTCTTTTCCTGGATCTGTGTATTTTTCATTTCAGAGCAGACCCTTATGAAAATGATGGGGCTGTTGGCTCAAGATGTAATCCTGGCTTTACTTTTGGGTAGATGTGCCCAAAGCCCTTAGCTTACCTTTTTGATGTCCTACATTCTACATTCTCTTGTCCAGTAGTGTACGAGGATGGGAGAGACCAGATGAGTAAATCTCTCTAGGGGACAGCGAAATTTGCAGCCAGGGAGAGTGAGGGGGTGAGGCTCCCTCAAAGTATTATTCCTGTAGTACATTTCTATGGTGTATTGCCTGTTTCAAAATACAGAAGGGTCAAAATAAAGTTAGGTATGCAAAATCACACATGCTTCAGTTATCATACTTGGGAACAAACTTTTAGCCATATTATTTGTCTGGTTGCTAATGTGCTTATGATTTACTAATATAATTACTACTCTGAAAAGAGCTTTTTAAGCAACACTAATTTGTGTGTCGTTTTCTGCCTTTGCTAAGGAGTTACATAGATAAAAAGAATAGAGAAAAGCCTTTCATAACTGTAATATATGTATGTGTGTGTGTTTATATGTGTGTGTATGTGGTTTTCAGGCTTATTCTGCTACTGACTAATAAATTGAATACAATTACAAATATAAAATCAATGTGCAATATTTTCCTGAATAGTAAATCTCACAGATCCAGTCGTGGGTATCAGAAAATTCCTTTTTAGAAAAAGTAGATGTTAGTAGTACAGCTTGCAGATACTTGCCCGTTTTTTTCCTGGTAAAGTTCAAGAAAATGGCAGGCACTGTGAGGAGGCAATTTCCCATTGAAGACATTGAGTGCCATCTGTAAGGCAGCAATGGTAGCTGCATGCTGTGAACAGAGGAAACCTTTAATTAATTTAACAATATCTCCTGCACATCGTCTGTCCACTCAACATTAACGTTACTTGTGTAGCCTCATTAATACTTGCCCTCTGCACTGTTGAACAAATATTGTCCCTTTATGGTTATATAAACTGAAGTGCTGCATGTATAAAGTGTATATATATATATGTAAATATTTAAGAAGTCTTAGTCACTTACATCTCTTACAAAATTAATGCGAGCTGTTAAAACTTCTTTTAAGAAGAACTAGCGGTTTTGCCTGTTAAGTAAACAGTATCTGAGATCAGATCAGTAAGCTCTTTAGCTGATATATACCCAATAGGTCATTTTATAACAGCAGTTTAGAAAGAACAGGTTTTTAATGAGAGCAATCCAAAAATTTCCTCCTCCAATGACAGCATTGGCACATTCTAAACAAAAATATAACATCACAATTGAGTAACTGCCTTCATAAGGCCTTCTAAAATAACTGTAACTTAATTTTTTCTGTTTTTTTCCCATTTGCACTTGAAAAAGATGCAGGAAGAAGGAGATTTTGTTTTAAATTAACTTTGTGATCCAGATTTAATAAAACATGAGTCATGATTTTTCCAGTTCCCTGCTCAATCAAAACATTATTACAATGAAAAAACCATGACATGAAGTGGAAAATGGAATGCTTCAGGTTCCAAAGTAGTATCTGTTAAAAATTTTTAAAAACCTGAAGATATTTAAGGTTAACCAAATAAAAATTGCTTGTAGCTCTGTTTCATGAAGGAAATGAAATTTCATGGCTTTCACTGCATTTAATAACTGCAGAAAGGAAACACAAGGGAAAGAGAAAGCACTCACCGCGGAATATATAACCATTTTTTGATGATATGAAGGCTTTCTGGCATCTAAGATATGCTTTAGAATAGTTTTTAAAAGAATACCTGAAAGAAAATGGGAAAGCAGTGACAATGAAAGAGATGCATGTGTTAACATCTGTATCGATTGTTGCCATTTTAGCAATCTGTCACTAAATGCACCAGATTCATTCAATTGACTTAATTGGTAATTTGTGCCCTGATTAATAGTGACAGTATCTTTCAAATGAGAAGTGGACCTATTTTACTTCCATGTAAAATGTTTTGGGAATCCCTAATAGCCTCTACAGCTTCAAACAGTGCATTGACACTTACTTTGTGCCAGCAGAACAGTGCAAGAAGAGCACAGTAATGAATACTACCTCATTGTGTGTGTAGCTTGATTGATTCCCTGCTTTCCAGAGAAAAAAGAAAGAGCATATCCTCTGGACTCAAGGGCTTTATAAATTCTGTGGTTGTCTATTAATGTTAACCGCTGAAAATTTGTAAGACAAACTACTTGATTTAAATCAATGGCTGCACTAGTATGTTAATATAAGGTTGACATGTCAACAAATTAAAATCCTAGAAGTAGAACTGTACCAGTTAGGAAATTAGGCAGAGTTAGTCTTTAGCTCCTGGCACATTTTTAATAGCAATTGTTAGTAAAGCAAAAGCAGAGGTTTGAACTTTGTGCCAAGTTTTGCAAGTTGGTGTTTGAAAAATGAAATAAATTGATGCATGCTTATATGTTTATTTGTCTTCCTAGCTCACAGATCCTGCCTGCACACTGCCCATATAAAACAAAAAGGAGGCTCAAAAGATGACAGTGGATGAATGGAGGAGAATGATTGATTAAAAAAGTATATTTTCAAATTTCAGCCACTGTTTTCTGAGCAGAATAAGAAGAAGCAGTTTAGTAATCTCATTTTAGGACTCTCAATAGTGGAATATGAAGATTGTTGGGCAACAAAGTCACCGTTATAGATATTACTACAAATATTTTTTTTAAAATTACACATGAAGGCTTACACTAAGTTCAGACTTAATTAAATTCAACGAGGATCTGTATAATATATTGAATTTCTTATAGAGTGTAATCTAAATGATATCTCAATTGTAATGTTAGATTAGAATATTCATGATTTATATGCTCACCATCTCCCTCCGCATTAATCAAAATCTTTCAGTGCTGCCCACCAATAACATCTTTCACCCTTCTGCTATGGAATAAGCAGCAGTGTTTATCATATACCCTTTCTTCTTTCCCATCCTACTTTTGGTTTTAAATGGGGTAAGAATTCAGCTTACCTCCCTGCAAACGTGATTTTTGTCTTTGTTTGTGGATCCCGAATTCTGCCTGCAGTAACAATTCTGACAGCTTCATCAGCTTGGTCCTGACACCATGAGTAGCCCAAACAGGTAGAGTGTAATTGTTAGTGTCCTGCAGTGAAGAAAGAAAACATGGTGGTTTTCTTACTGATTCCTACTGCTAACTGTTATTTATTCTGACACAAAATACTTTTCATAACAAATTCTGAATGTTTCACTCCAGTAACATTTTCTCATTGTAATAAAATGATGACTGTATTTTGCTTTTAGACAGTTGTAGCATTCCTATTTATAGCACCATAGTTCTTAAAGAAATTTGAGGGGCAGTGTTCAACAAGAAGAGGAAATATAATACTAAAAATTTTGCAAAAAGCAACCGGCATTTTTATGTTGTCAGGTGAAAAAAAATCATTCTATGACTTTCAGTCATGTTCTGGGATATACTTTTACTGAAACAAATCCTACATAAACATCAGGATTTTAAAGGCTGGTAGTTCTCAGGTGTAAGAGGAATACAGAGATCAAATAGAAGTATGTATAGCTGTAGTATACTACAAGTATGATGCATAAGGATGAGATATAAATGAAATTCATACCTATTATGGTCTACTGGATACTGTCACAGTCCTCAAGCTAATGTGGAGTGGATTAGTGTTTCCTTGGGGATGCAGCCCAAGGTATATTAGCAATCACAACTGTGAAAAGGGAAGATATACACAGCACTCCTGGTTTGCACTACCCTGAATTCCTGTTTAAACAAGGTTGGTAACTTTCCTTTAGTGTAATGTAACCTTTGGACTGAGATCACCAAAAGGAGTGTTCTTGTAACAAGCCAGCTCAAAGGAAAATGTCAACTACTTTAAGGGTTTGTTTAAACAAGAAAACAATAGAACAAGCAAGGCTCATGATCACAAACCAGCTCAGATCACAATGTTATCCATTTCTCTTTTAATAAATGTGATTTACGTCTTGAGGAAAGAATTGGCTGGTTGCATGCTATTTAAGACAGTTTGTAGGCAAGCAAACACCTCAGTCTCCAAGTTACGTGAGAGTCATATAACAGCTGAAAGTAACAAATACAGAAAGATGTGTGCTACTTTAGTTTCATGAACTGCATTAAAAAGCTGTGTAAGGACGCTCTCTCTGCATGCTTGAAAAATGAGAGTGGCTTTTATGGCAAATGTCTTAATTGATACCTTCAGAGTCCTCAGTCAGTACTATCAAAGACCAAAGCTCATCAAATTTAACACTAGAAGGAGAAACACAATTTTTCTTTTTTATTTTTTTTTAATTCCAGTGTTTAACTAGATTCTTGATGGGAGCTGTGGATTTTGTGTATTTGTCTGGTGACACAGGTTCTCGGTATGATTTAACTACTGAAAGTTGTGGTCCTGCATTCAGAAAACATGGAAGGGTGACCTCACTGAAATTACAGTGAGATGTCCCAACATGTTAACATTTCACTTAACTTAATGCCCTGGCTAACATTCTATTCAAGTCTGCTTTGATCAAAGTTGGACTTTTGCAAAAACTGCAGGAATTAAGGTAAACTCATTAGCATCACACCTTGTAAAATATTACATGTTGCTTCTGAAACCCACCTTAAAACTCCCTCACTAATATCCCAGTACTACTGATGACCAATCATTAATATTTAAGTTTATAGTTATGCATGAAAGTGTAGCAAAAGCTGCCTTCAAAAATAACTTTTTAACTCAAAACTCTTCAATTTTCAGTTGTGTCAGCTGAGGTGAGTCTAGACTTTGAAGTGGGACTTCTTCCTAAATAACGAGCAGTCAGGATTTTTTCAAATCATGACATTTCCAGACTCTGGAACCCAGATATCCATGCCAGTCTGGCACCACAATACCCCTTTCATTATAAAATCCATGCGTTTTTGTGATATGCCTGGTACCTTTGCTTAGAACAAGCTTCCAAACTTGCACAAATAGCAGTTTCTGTCATTCCAATGGCTGCTTAATTCCTGAAAATACTCTGTGCACTGCTGGCCATGTACAAATAATGACTTCTCTTGCTCATACAATTTGCATAAAATCTTCATGGAAGGATGCTTATGTTTCTTTGCCAGAAACATATTTTTATCCCTGTGTATCTCCTAGTGGGGTCTGGATGAGTTACAAGACCATTTTATCCAAAGGTATGCTTTTGCCTAATTCTCCATATGCAGTCACTGGCTGGATTTTGAATAAGAAAGTCCATTAGTTTGTGTTCCTTATAGTGGTGGATGACCCATAGCAGCCTCACACATAGAGTGTTTACAGGATTTTCAGTTGTAAGTTTGATGTTAATTGAGAGTTTCTGGGAAAGAAGCTGAAAATAGTCTATGTTTAAAAAAATTTTGAAGCACAGATCTGCAATCTTTTTATGACTTAACAATAAAAAATAAATGAAGTAAAAATACAGGTTAAAGGAAGGAATTTCTATTGGACTCAAAGATCTTAAGGGTCTTTTCCAACCTAAATGATTCTATGATTCTATTTACCTCATATTGTAAAGTGTCAGAGAGCTTCCGAATCCTCTCAGCAGTCAACATCTTCAATGGGTATCCTGTATGAGTGGCTAAAAACTTAAGAAATTGCTGGAATACAAAAACGACCAAAGTTGTAGTATTGAGGGCCTTTTTGCATGATTTCTACACACTGCCATACTAGTACATAAGAATTTTTAGAAAGAAGTCAATCTCTGCACTTTGCACTTAAGCAATGAACCATTGCCTAGGTGTAAGAGAATTTGGCCTATTCATTTAGACAAAGTTGGTGATGTTAGTTCAAATTTGAAGTATGGTGATTGTTTATGTTTGGTGGAAATATTTAGAAGGAAGTAGAGGGAACATATATATATGAAGAAGTCTGGCAGAAATCCAAAAAAAAGGAAGTATGATAAAATGGGAAATGTGATTTACTTGCATATAATACCCAGATGCAGAGCCACAGATGGATGACTGAGGTCAGTGGTGAAAGATAATAGAAAAACAGGTGAGGTTCATAGTGTCCTTTTGAATACATGTGTGAAGTAGAAGGTTGCAGTAGAATAAATATAATTATATAGTCGTGCAAAGGTTTTGATGGTGGAGAAAGAAAGGAAAGGATACCGTATGAAGACAAGCAAAAAAATTAAGAGAACACCTAAAGTAAAATTTTAGGTGGGAAACATGAGTAGGTACTTGAGGAAAACACTGAGACTGTTAAAGAAATTCTGGGGAATTGATCTGAGAAAATGAATCTGAACTCACAGACTTATATAGGCAGAGATATCAGAGGAGTTGCTTTACATGGGAGTAAACAGAATATGGAATAATTTGAGGAGCAATGTCACTGATTTTATTTGAAGGGTTTTTTTTTTTGCTTAGTCTCCTGGAAAATAAATTTTTGCACGTAGGTCAATAATTTCTCTTTTCTAAGACTTGCCATTTTCAATTGTTGGGAGGAACCCAGTCCAGCTGGATCTGTAATGTTGTAATTGTTTTTTGGATATGTTGTCCACACCTACTGTGAAGATTAAAGATATGAAAGGAGCATATTAACTGCTATTTTTTAATCCTATGTGTCAGATGATGTTGAAGAAGTGATACACTTTAACTGGATTTCCAGAACTGAAAATACTTCACCTTGTAGTGCTTGAATTGCCTTTGGAAATCCCTTGTTGCAAAGGTTTCTCTCAGAAGCTCCTTGTGTTTTGGGCAGTGTGAGAAAGGTAGGTATAGCAACTGGAAAGAAAATTGCAAAATTCTAGTTAGGCAAGGTGCATCTGGTTCTGCAATTCAATATACCCTTACAGGATTGCTGTTCCGATTGGCTGCACTGGTTAGGACAAGCTGAAAAATAATTTGGGAATGTAGTTTCAAGGATATTCATCTTCAGGACTCTAGGAGTCACAGTGATGACTACATACAAAATCATCTTTAAATGTTCAGAGGAGTAATAGCTGCAGTAGTTCAAAGTTAAAGGATTCATTTACACAAGATGAAATTTGTCCTTTGACAGAAGACAGACAAGCCCTCATGAACTCCTTTGTTCTTAGCTTCTCCAGGGATGATTTCATTCCCTGTATTCAGTCTTTCTTTAAACACACCATCACATTTTTACAACAAATTACCAAACATCAGCTGTACTGCAATAGGAGTGTTTGTGCATACTCAGCTGCATCGAGTCTATTTAACATAGCTTTGTTTAGTTCAGCTACATTGTAAAAACTTGTCAACTTTCTGTAACTTGGTTTTGTCTTTCATTAATTTAAGATATATGAATGTTAAAGGTTACATATGACTGGAATAACTTAAGAGTTTGTTATTTCATTTCTGTGTATTCATATATATGTAAGCTAAATTGTGTTTATTCTTGTTTTCTGTTAAATTTAAAGCAAAAGTTAAAAACTGACACTGAGATATTATTAGTGCTTTTCTCTAATGTGTTTTTTTGTCCTTTTCCCAGTAATGTAGCTCCATCTATATAGTCCCAAAGTTAAAAGAACTTTGAAAAGAACTTGAGAGTTTTTAAGGGCTAATTAGCTTGGAATGCTTCACAGCAGTTCTTCAATCTTTTTAGAAATACAATGCATGTATTCCACAAGCTGGGAAGGTATCTGTCAATTATAGCCATAAGTTCATGAACAGGCATAACTTTACCAATAAAGGATGGGCATTTGTTTTGTGTTGTAGGATACTTGTGGTCTCAGGTTTAGCCTGTATATGTAGTAAGGATGAATAAAGTTAAAACACAAATAGTTTTAAAAAAGTATGAAAATTATGCATATGTTCATGACTTTATGGTTTGTTTGAATAGACTTACTTGCTCCCCTAGACGTGAATGAGGTGCAACACCAGCTTGCTGAGTTTGCCATCTGTGTTGATAGTGGCCAGGTATTCTTGACTGTCTGCTGAGATATCCCCACCTGTGACAGTGCCAGAAGCAGCTCCTGGCTCTGTGCCTGGCTGTGTGTGTGAAGAGGAAGACATGTCTCCATACCTTCCATCTTCATGATCTCATCACCCCGAGATGAGAACCATTGCTCCATGACCTATCTAATGTGATTCCTTTGTTCACAGACTGTATTGACTAGACTTCTAAAGCCCACACAATTTATCTTGCATCACATGTGCAAACCTGCTCTCACAAACCAGGACTTGCACTGCACACTCCTGATCTTCCTAATATTTTATTATAAATTTTCCACACACAAGAGATTCCAGCTCCAGTCAGCTGCACAGCTTTCCCCTCTAGGACAAGTACATGCAGGCTACAGAGCTGCTATCCACAGGATTCCTTACAGCTCCAAAGTGAGGAGCTGAGGAAAGGAGATGAATAACTACATTGCCCTAGGAACCCATGCTTAAAGCTCTGAGTCCTCCTTCCTTTTCCCTTTTACTTTTTTCACCAATCCTTGAACTGAATGCACTGGCCAGCAAAGTGCATGAAAAATAATTCTGTAACTCAATTCTCACCGTAATGTAAGTCCCAGAATGATTATCTTGTGTTTTCTGTTGGCTGTGGACTAAAAAATACTGAAGCATTAGTGAGATTAAGTATGTTTTCTCACACAAAGAAAGTAATTTTTGCATTAAATTTAGGATTAATCTACTTCTACAGTAATTTACTCACCTTATAAATCTTTTTCTCTATACCCAGTACTCCCATTTTTCTTGCTCTTTTGTTAAGATCATGTCTCTGATACATAAATCCATTCCTGTGAAAATCTTGCCAATAGTTCTATTCAGCTTATTAGGCATTTCTTCACAATGCTTGTAACAAAGTACTTTTCATTGCTTTTACCATGAACTTTTTCTGTGTTGGTGGGTACAGTCCAGCAAGACTTGCCTGAGCACTCATAAGTGTGTGATCACAGTCAGTGCTTTGAACATAAATCTGAAGAGGAAAAAAAAAAAAAAAAGAAACATTTTGGAAGGTAGTATCTTCTACTAGGCTTACTTTTTTGTCTTCTTGGTAGGAAAAAAGGGGCTGGTACTGGGGAAGTTGTCATTAAAATGGAGTAGTATGAAGAAGGACTATGAGAAAGAAGGAAGAGGGAGAAAGACTGCAGCTGGAATATAATTTTGCTGGGCAACTGAGCTGCAGCATGGCAACAATTATCTTACGAATCTTAGTAGAGAGCAGGAGATTGACTCTATTTGACCCTCTAGGCTTTGGGACATCATATGAGCACTGAAAAACTGGAACCTAAATGAAAACCGAGTTATATCTACACTTCCATATGGAAGTGTGGCATTGGAGGTATTTGACATAGATGCTCTCCCATACAGCAGCAAGGGAGCTGAAACTATACACAGCCCAAAAAGCCCTTCATGTGGTTTTCAGTTAACCATCAGGATAAAAGCTGAACCACAGTTTCAGGGATACTTTGGATTACATTTACTTCAATCGGTAATAAATTTTCTCCAGCTGCACCAAGTTTAGACTCTTATGCATCCAGGAAGTCCTATTAACAACCATGAAAAACATCTTCCTGCCCAGATCCAGTACTTGCCTCACACTGCTTGTAAACAACGCTCAGGAAATGAGAGTATCTCCTCCGCATGTACTGGCCAAGCTCATACTGTTGTTGTATGCCAAGCTGTAGAAGTAACACAAGAGCGTAAGAGGCTAAAGAAATGTGCTATGCATCCATTCTTACAACCAAAAAAGAATGCAGTAATACTTGCTATTATTTTAATAAAGGCTTTTTTCCATTTCAAAGCAAAGTAGGAAAGAAGAATGAGAAAAAAGGTAGTAAAGTTGCTGGATGTATGGTATTAGATAATGTTAGATATGACTCCTGGTGGAAGCAGTTTTCTGTTTTGCTCTATGGAAAGCTATGTGTATGTTTATCTGAGCTAGTGAGACTTAAAGCAGGCATAGAGATGTTCCAACACCATCTGTCTAGTTTCTACTCTATTGCTGTCTCAGAGCTGATTAACTGGGAGTGCAGATAGGACAGCCACCTGTCCATGAAGACACATCCAGGATATGAATCCCATAGAGTATCACCAGTGATTCCTTATGGAGGCTACCGTTTTAGCCTGGGCAAGATCTAATTTTTCAGAATAGAAGACTTGAAGTAAAAGTCTTCCAAGACATTTTGCTGCAATAGTTAATTATTATCAACAGTCTGAAACATTTTATTTTTGATTCTTGCCTATGTTCCCAGCTTTCAGTCACTGAATCTTGTTACACTTTTGAATAACATTCACCATCACAGACGTTATTCACAGTTAAATAATAATCCATAAAATGGAATCAAGTCACTTTATCTCTGTCTTAAACTGATGACAATTCTGTGGTCACAAAGCAAAATAGGTTTTCCAGTCCCAACATTTTAGTAGCTCTTAGCTGAACATATTTCAGTTTACCTACATAATTTTGTGAACACATGACATATGAATCACAGAATCATGGAATCAGCTAGGTTGAAAATGACCTCTGAGATCACTGAGTTTAACCTATTACTTAATGCTACCACATGAACTAGACCATGGCACTAAGTACCATTTCCAGTCTTTCCTTAAACACCCTTAGGGGTGGTGACTCCAGCACAATCACACACAATGTCCCTGTAATAGTCTCTATATTGCCATCTTTTTACTAGTACCTGGTTCCACTTTCCTCATGTAATCATTATTGTACACTGGGATCTCAAGTACAGTGATTACTCATTGCTTCCTAAAGCAATTTTCTAAGTCAGGGGATAATTCTAAGGGGATAATAATATCCTCTGATTCTAAGATCAGAGGATAATTCAGGCTGAAAGGGGCCTCAGGAAGTCTCTAGTCCAACCTCCTGCTCAAAGCCAAGTCAGCTATGAGGTCAGACAAAGTTACTCAGAACCCACTGTGTGTGCATGTGATCACCTCTTTCTTTTGCTAGGATTGTGCATACAGTTTCTTAGGGTATATGTGTGGTTTAGGCTTCTGTCCCAACTTGCCTAATATGCATGTTGTTAAGTCCTGACACCTGGGTCTTGTAGTCTTCCATACCCTGGAGCAAGCTGGCATGGATTGCTGAATTTGCATAGCGTTTATATGGAATGATTGAGTCACAGCTGAGTTAGGAAGCTGGTCTGCTACTCCTGTTTCTTCAAGGGAGTTGACATGAGCAGAAACAAGCCTGATTTTGCTTTGGAGATCAGTTTTGCCTCCTAAGAATAGTGGGGAAAAGGAACCCCTCAGGCAGTTTGTTCTATTCTGATTTTGATGAAGACATGGCAAGTTCCCCTAGGAGAGAGACCTCTTATGCACGTAAGGTCTGTGTGCCTAACAAAGAGACACATCTCACAGTCTGCCTCCACGTGCACTGTAGTCATTTATCTGGGACAATCAGATTTCTGACCCTCCTAAACTACTTCAGGGAGACTGCCTGATTCTGAGTACTGGGCAAATAACTAGCAGCTTTTTTCCACCCAAATAACATCTTGGACAAAAAGGAAGCACAAGCACCCAGACACAGTGTGTCCTTCTGGTGGGAGGGGAGCAGAACTGGGGTTAAAACCACTCAGTGCCCAAGTTTTGCCCTACAGTCTGATAGTACACTTCACCCTTGGCTCCATTGGTAAGAGGTGGCAGCTAATAGAAGTTACTGCTAAGGCAAGCACAGTATCTGTCAGACACTGACTGCTTGCTCTCTGGTTGCTTCAGCTGCTTCTGGTTACTACCAACAGCTGATTACACAAATGCCTGCACTAAAATAGCTGAGTTTGAAATCAAATTTCTTGGGCATTGCATGAAAGAAGTTACTGCTAAGATGGATCTTAACAGTTCATGAGTTAGGAAGCACCCCTATTTAGCAAAGATTGAGGGAGAGTTGTGTCTGTAAGCACTTCCACCACCTTCTGCTACTGATGGTTAAAGCTTCCTCTGTAGTCACAGGTGAACTGAGATGGTCACCAGTGCCTGACTCCTCCCAGAAGACCCTATACTGCAATCAAAGAGCTCAACATATGCTGACACTGGACCAGAACAGGCTGGCTCAGCTTTATTTAAAATTAGTGAGTGCTGTTGCTGTGTTTTCTGAGTAAGTTCTTTGGCTGTCCTTAAGTGGCAACTTACTGAGGGCTTTATCCAGGTGAAAGCAAAGTTCCAACCCCCAGATATCAACACACCATCTTCCAGTATTTCAATTCTTGGCCCAGGTAAACAAACTCACCTTGGTAAGTTGGCCATATCCCTGTTGTCTTGCAATTTCTCTGTGCTTATCAGTTGGAAAAAACTCCTGTGGGGTATGATCACCATGGCGAAATACCTGATAAAATAGATGAAATTGCTTTCATGTTACTGGTATTTTTTGTGGTAATTATAACTAGTGTAGTCACAAGGAATATGCAATGACAGTGAGTACTATATCTGACAGATGCTAAGTATATTAATGGTGCTTGCCTTAAGTCTAGGTAGCCACATTTCCTGTTTAATCTATTTAGACAAATAGAATTGGTTCTTTACTTGGTGTTTGAGAATAAATTAGCTCAAGCAAATTTTTGTAAGTTATAAAAACTAAAGGATACTCTATTATATTTTAAAGAGGTTTAGGTATTTTAGGAGGTATAGATCATAATATGAAATAAACAGAAAACCAGAATCATGTAAGCAATTTTGCAGAAATATTTGAACATGAGTATTTTGGTATGGCTAAATTGGAATTCAGAAAGAAGAAACCTAAACTCAAGATAAGAGTTCTGTGGCTGACTGCTGTGAAGTTCTCTGACATGGAAGAAATTAGCCTTAAAAAGTTATATGTTGGCTTTTTAATCACAAGAGGGGACAAAAGTGTCATCTAATATGTAAATAGTTGTTCTGAAAACACTGAACCTATTTTGGAATTTCACTTCAGATAAAAGATGTATTTATAGATATTATAAATCTATATATAGATATTATAAATCTATATATAGATATACCTCTATACAATATCTATATTATATATGTTAATATATTCTATTAATATATATATTTATTTATATTATACATATCTCTATATATTTAAAGATACATTGGATTTTTAAAATTTGTACAATGAATTCTTTGCTTTGTATGTGTTGCAGCATAATTCCTTTAAATATGTGCTATATGACTCTAAAATTTTACCACCAGATTTATTTTTTTTTTTAAATTTCTTAATTCAAGCAGGGAGAAATGAGATCAAAAGCTGCAGGACAAAAATTATATAAATGATTTATGTGTGTGTGATGTTCAGAATAAGATTCAGGTTTCCTGCAAACAAATGGTGCATCATAATCATTGCAAACAGCATTAGCTTCACAGCTCTGGTTTCTGTGTTGCTTCTTCAATGTCATTGTACTCTAGTTTGAGTTTCACATACTGAAATTTACTTTGCATGTTAGTCCATTGAAACCACTGGAAAAGTGGAAACTCTTCCATGGTAAAGAGGGATTTGCACAGTTGGTATTTAGTTATGAAATCCTCTTTTACATTTTGAAACAGAATCCTGTGTTATTTTTCTCTTAGTGCTATAAAATAAACATTCTGTATCCATCCAGAAAGTAAGTTCATCTAGGAGTGCACAAAGAAGACAAAATTATAAAATCTTATTTAAAATTGAGTTGGTTTTTTTTGGACAATGCAATAATGAATTTTGAATATGGAGGAAACATTTAAATTCTTGAAAAGGTACCCCCTCCTCCCTACCATAGAGTACAAGAAGAGTAGCAAGTGACAGTAAATTTCAGTAAGTGAAATTTTGAAGAAATTTTCCATACTTACTAGGGACACAAACTTCAGTTTTCTTTTAGCTGTTGTTTGATGAAGAAAGATGCAGAAAAGACAGAACATGAAACACAGACTCCAAATTCCACAGACCAGCTGCCTTGCTCTCATCCTGAGGCTAGTTTTCAACTGTTTTGCACACCAAGGTCCCTGGCTGGATGTGGTGATACAGTAGATATGTAGCTAAGAGAGGTGGAGTCAGTTGTGCATAGTGAAATCTGAGAGTGGGCAGTGAAGTTGTTGTCTCCTGCCTCTCTCCCCTTCTAGGGTTAGTGCTTTTCAGGGAACTCATGAAATGAAAAGTGCATTTCACATTTGTACTCCATTTCTGTGCCCCATGTATAGCATGGAGTGAAATCTCTGAGCCCTCTAACTCCTGCCCCTTGCAAGAAAGGTATGTAAAGAGAGAGTGGCTGCCTTCTATTATTTAACTACGATTTAGTATGGATCAGTCAGCCTTCTCAAATATGAAAATGCTGTGGATATTTTACTGTATGCAAAAGAGCTACTAAACCATCTGCATTCCTGGTGCTCACAGTCTTGTCTGAACGCTTTGTACTAGAAGGCTAAAAGGAGCAGTGCTAACAAATGTCCTTTTTATAAAGTATCTCTGAATTTTCCCTGGATTTGGCTGTGATTTGTAGGAGGAATAAGAAACAGAAGGTTTTGTTGCAAAGGAGCAGATATAAGCCTAAATTCATCACAAAAAATATAAAGATCTATGAATGAATTTTTGATCTCTTTAGTAGATTGACTCTTTCTATTGGCAAAGCATGTGACACTGTTTCCTAGAACTATGCCCCAGAATTTCATAGTTAGGTAAATTTTTAATTTTCAAATTTCTCTTGTTGCAAACACTCTCATTGTTATATATGCATATTTGAAGACTTGTTTTTGTCATTTCCCCAGTATATTTTAAATAAGGAAAAAAATCTAGCTCAGAGACACCATTGTGAGACAGGATTGATCTTGCAAGTTATTGGTCTATGTTCAGTCCCATCCATGTGTTAATGAATGTCCTGTTAATATGTTAAAATTGAGGGTGATTTCTTAGTCATCAGAATCTCTCTGTAAGAATTTAAGAGAAATTACTGAAAAAAAAAAAGTACCTGAAAAGGTTATAAAACCTCAAACTAATTTAAGGCACATAACAAAACTTTTCTTCTGATTATTAGATATAGACTTGTCTAGGAGGAATTGTTCTCCTTCCTGACATAACAATGTTGTGTCTTTCACATCTGTCAGAGGTAAAGAGATTCCTCTGTGAAACATCCAGAGGTCACACTTTCATTTGTGCTTTTATCTCTGACAATTTTAAGAGATTCAGAAATAGAAAAATATGGGGAGATACCCACATTTGTTGAGAAAGAATACGCTTTTTTTTTTTTTTTTTAATTTTGAGGCACCTTGGGGGAGATATGGGTCAACTGATGAAAGCTATTCACACCCTGTACATGTTATACCTCAAAAATTTCTCTGAAGAGTCTGTGTTATGCTGTTTCTAGAGAACATGGCGTCAGACAGTACTCCTAAAATACACTGCTCTGCAAGACAAGATTTTAAAATAGACCAGCTCAGAAAAAATAGGCTAGTTCTCAGAATTGCAAGGTTCCATTCAGGTTCTTCATATATTGTAGATATGTCTAGGGGGGATTGCAGATCTTCAACAGGAGCAGAAATATTTAATTTTCATCTTTTCAAGAATCCATTGTCTCACACTTTATGTGAGACTTCTGTTAACTAGGAAGGTAAAATTACTCTTACTTAAGGATGACAAAATATTGGTGTAAAAATATTAATGAAATGGGAAAAAAATATTAGTGTTAAACCTGATACTTGCTTCCTTTGATGTGATCTTGATGCTTCTAATTCTGTGAGAAAAGATATATAAAGGACTGGAATTGTTTTTAAGTACACCACGTTGATTAATTCTGTTCCTGTTGAAGGTCACAGAGGGAGAATGAAATAGTGTGCTGTGGTGAGAGGTGTGCAAACTATAGCTTTTCCAAAGTCAAGCTAACTGCTTCTTTAATATGCTTGCAGCCTGTGTTAAAGCAACAGCTGAAGGTGGAAGAGGAGAAGATAATAATGAAGGTAATAACTGTACCTCTCTCACTTCCTTGGGAGTACAAAGGACAATATATGAGGTGTAGATCCCATGCCTTTATCTTACCAACAAACTTGATGAAATATTTACAGGATCATGATAACCATAATATTACTAAGCAAGTAAAAGTGCTGCTTTGTGTTGTATTCTGTACTGTGATATCTGAAGACTGTGTTAAGAGATGCTGCTGGATCTTTGACATTGTTGAGGGAATGCAAATATTCATTAACATGTTAAAATGTGTTAAAATTGCTTCATGGTTTAAGTGGTAGTATTGTATTTGAAAGCCTACTAACCCAAAGGACAAAATTTGACCCTTTACCCCCAAATTACAATATGAAGAACTCTTTCCAGGCTCCCCCCACTTTCAAGCGCAGAGTTAAATCTGCTTGGTATGTAAACACAGGGTAGGATTGGACTTGCAGCTTGAGATGCTACTTCTTCATTGACAGTGGAGAAGGCTCAGATTTGGTTATAGTGATAAGCATGTTAAAAGAGGACTTCTGTGTAGAATTAGTGTGGGGAGAAGGAGGCAGGTGGAGGATTTCAACCTGTCCACCCTGCCTCCCCTTCTTTCCTCTGCCTGAAATAATTGATGGATTGTTATTCCAGCCTTTGGTGTTGAAGTCATAATTCTGTGGCTTCTGCACAGTTATGATGTCCATATCTTGTTCCATGACTTTTCCTCATCTTCTTTTCTCATCTCCAATCAGATCAAAGCTATATGTGTCAAGAGAGCCCAATGTTTGCTCTGGTGTACAGTGTTCCTCTTTGTCTCCTGCTTCCACGCTATGGTTAAATGATGAAAAGTGATGGTATCATTTCTTCAGCTGCAAAAAACTAACAGTCAGAACAACAAAAAAAAAATCCAGCTCCAGGCCACTGGCTTAATAGGTAAATAGATAGGAATCAGCTGCTTTTATTTAGCTAATGCTTAACATAACATGCACTTCTTCAGTCCTTTGTGTTAGGAAAACAATGTCATGTCACCATGCCTTGCCTTAGGGACGCACTACCCCTGCCTCAACATTAGCTCTGCCTCAATCAGATGCACATTTTCTGTTAATGATTTCAGTGCTGGCATGCAAGAATACTCATGCAATAATACTCTTTTCTGCACATTTTCAGACTGAGTTAGAAGCATGTCCAGCTGCTTTGAGGAGTTGGGTTAAGGCTTGTTATGAATATGAACAAAATGGAGTACCTTTCTCCTGCAAATAAAGTGATCTTCACTGGTAGCTGGGGCTCTTAAGAGCTGTGCATGACGTCCTTGTTACTGCTGGCAGAATACATCACTTATTGCCCCATATTCTCTGATCCTTCCTTGAACTGCAGCAGAAAAGAGGAGACAGCAGTCAGTGTTGGGACTTGTAAGGAATAGAGCTGTGGCTGTTCTCAGTCCATTCAGCATTCTAGGCAATTGTCTTCTTTTTGGGTTCAAAGCTGCACTCTTGATGTCATCTGAGACAAAGTACTTTTTTTGCACAGTGGCCAGCTTCTCTCCATTACACTGATGCACATATAGAGTAACTGTTTAGAAGCTGATTAATTTATTCCAGATATATTTTCCTTTAGGTTTACACAGCTGTTTTTCCACTGATGATGCTCTCAGCACCTTCATCTGAAGTTTTGCTGGACTGTAAAATCTCCTCCTCTCAAGTGTGAGCACTTGCTCTCCAGTTCTCTATGACTCATCAACTTTGTGGTCATAAAATACACTGACAATTAAAATGCAGTTTGGTAGTTTTGTTTTTACATGATTACAATAATATCCGAACAAAGGGATAGCTGACAGTATTCCACAGAGTGGTGTTGCTTGTTTTGGTCTTGGGCCATCAGTGAGCCACAAACCTGAATTTTGTGCAGTGCAAAATTACATTATTCTTTTTTTCCCCCAAATTCTGTGAACAAATTCATGTAACCTTGCTTGAGTGTGATGGATGGCTGTATCCAATAACCAGACTGCCACTGCAGGAAAGATGGGTTGTAGCAAATGGCTAGGAGATTGAGGCCTTTACACTACACTGTCTAGTTATTTAGACTTGCCAATGAGTTGTATGGACCAACAGGATCATGTTGTTTTGACAATGAGAGATGAAATATTACTTGTACTGAAAGAACATTTTCTTCCGGCCAGCCATCGCCACAGCTGTCTAGCTTGGGAATAAAGCAGAAGTGTTTCATGCAGGTGCTGACTTCAGTCCAAACAACCTCCCTGTGTGTAATCAAGCATCAAGCTATTGTCCTTGTGCACCTTAGAATACCTGAGGGGTTTGGGTTGCTGCTTTCTTTAAATTTTAATAACTGTATTTAACTTTGAGATAGGCTACAATAACTATGATTAAAGCAATTGTTCTCCTCAGCTGGAATGATTTCTGATCATGCCCTAGCAAAATGCTGCAAGATTTGAAATGCAAATATGTGTGAGGGAAGAAATGTTCTCTCAACAACATTTTTATTTCTTTTGGAATAAAAACCAAAAAGTCCTCTATAAAAATACCAGCTGAGGTAAAATATAAGCCAATAATTTCTCATAAATATTTTATCTTTCTGCTAATCATTGTCATTGACCCCTGTGAGTGATTTACTTTTTGGTACTTAAATCCTGAATTAGTAGTGAAGAATTAATAAATTAGAAGTTCTTTCAGAGCTAATTCCTCCCCCTCCTACTTTCTGTTCTGTTCCTGTACTGTTATCATCTTTCAGGATCTTTAGATTCTTAGAGTTTTTGGTTATATTTGCACTTTCTCATTTAAATCAGCAAAGCTTTTTATGCTAGGACATAGGCATGCTTTCATAGCATGTTTCAAATCTTTTTCAATCAGCTGTTTTCTTGAGAGGCTGGTGATTTATTTAAATATTGCCACAAAAGTTTTCTGAATGAACCTGTCAGAACTGTTAAAATGGATGACTATGCTTTTGTGTCGCTACACTGTGTGTATTAATATTGACTAGACTGTCTGGTAGTGGTGTGTTTCCAAGGTTTCCTTGGCATTTCCAAGGAAATT